TTCCCGCCGCGGGGTCACGGAGGCGGCTCCTGGCTCCCTCGGGGTGCACACCCCGTGTCCCCTGACCGCTTTTGAAGGTCGCTGTCCCGCTCCACACCCTCGGCTGGCGTTTCTTCACAAATTTACCACTCGTCTAAAACGCACGAGCAGCCTCTGCTTCGGGCATTTCTTCCGCTCTCCACTCCCTTGCGAGGAGCCGCATCCACATGGAAGAGTAATAAAATGAGTCTGCTTTTTCCTGCCCCCCATGAGGCCCGCGCCCTGGGCGTGAAGGAAGTGTTTCCGGGAGGGCAGAGCCACCCGCTTGGCCAAACCTTCCCAGGCAGGGTTGTAGGAGCGAGCTTGGGACTCTGCTGGTTGTCCAAAGGCACAGCCATAAACAAATGAAAAATCCTCAACTGTCCTTAACTCAAGCGCTTAAGAGAAGAAAAGAAAATGAGCCGCCCATTTGCAGTTTTGGTTCCAGTTGCAGTTCTACATGCTTTTCTGCATTTGTTTTGCTAAGTGAGGATTTCCACTTTTCGGTAAAACCAAACAATGGAAAGGACAGCCTGAGTCCTGAGGAGAATCATTGCTTGGCCCAACAAGGTGGGGTCTACCGAGTCCACAGAGCGCTGTGCCTGGCAGGCTGCGGGCGGCCTCTGGCCTGTCCTGCACGCTGCCTCTGTCCACTCAGACGGAGCCTTCCGAGGGCCAATGGTACCAAAGAAAGAAACAGCCTGCGAGAGCAGCAGCCGGTGGCTTCTTAGAACCCAGACGGCCTTGTAGCTTTGACAAAGTTACAGCGAATCTTCCTGCCTTGAATCCCCAAGCAAAACAAGTGCCAAGCTTGGCTTCAGTCTGGATGAGCGGGAAGCCGCATGAACAGCAGCAAATACTATGGACAACTGGCTGCACGTGTTTACTAGGCAGTTCCGGACACCAAAACAGAGGACCCTGGGCATCCTGCGCTCCCAAGTGCACCTCTCCTCGGGCTCCAGCCCCTGCTTGCTCTGCTCCTCCCTTCCTCTCTTCCTCTCCTCCCAGGCCCCAGGTTTCCTGCCTTTCTTAGGTTATTTGACCCGGTCCTCCAGTCCTCTCACCAAATGGCCAGAGGGAGATATCGATGTGACCAGTTTTGCTTTTTGCTTTTTTGTATCAGGGATTGATCTCAGGACCTTGTACTTGCAAAGCAGACGGCTGCACCACTGAGCTAAATCCCTGGCACCAGTTTTGTTTTTAACTTTGCTTTTATTACTACAAGTTTGCAGAACAGAGTGATGACATTCATCATGGGGAATTGTGACCTTTGAAAGGAGGAAGAAACCAGATCTTCAGGGAATTAAAGGCTTGTGAAAAACCACAGGGCCAGGATCTGAGAGGTGGATGCTAACCAAAGCTGTGCCTTGCTGAGTATCTCACTCGAACAAAGAGTTTTGCAGGGCAGGGAGGTGCACACCCTTTGTAACACGTGGTTCTTGTGAGGCTGAGGCAGGAGGATCGCTTGACACCATGAGTTTGAGACCAGCCTGGGCCGCAAAGCAAGGCCCCATTAAAAAATGATGCAGATATAGATATTGATGATATAGATACAGGTATAGATATCGATAGCTAGCCCAGAAATCATTTTAAAAAATACCAACAGATTGACTACATACAACTTTAAAGCTTTTGTGTGGCAAAAGATTTTTTAAAAGATAGGCAGGGGAAAAAGTATTTGGACCACAGACATGTAACAGAAAAGGTTATCTATAAAACACTTGCAAATAGCTAAGAAAACAACCCCTGACCCAACAGAAAAATGGCCAAAGAATACAACAAAATTGAGTTTAAAAGTAAAGAACACAAGAGGAAACTCACAAGAGAATGATCAACTTCTAAAAAAAAAAAAAAGATGAAACAAGTACCCCAAAGATGGACCAGCATTTTAAATCATGACCACATTGCCAAAGTCTTTTCGGAGAAATAATTTGTACTCTTTACCAAAATGGAAGTGATTTTATTTCTTGACCTCAAAATTCCACATTTAAGAATGTGGCACATAATGCTGTAATCCCAGCACTTGGGAAGCTGAGGCAGGAGGATCACTGGGAGGGAGGAGTTCAAGGCCAGCCTGCGCTACACAGCAAGACTTTGTCTGAAAAAGAAAATCTGTCCTCCCTTCTGCTGTGCCCCTTACCAAATTCCCATCGATGCATGACGATTTATGGAATGGGTGCAACAGTGGAAACTGGGAACCAGTTGGATGTCCAGTTCCGGGCTGGGTGGGTGCACCGTGATTCACATATTCTGTGGGTTACTCTGTACCGCTTAACAGAACAAGGTAAAGCTGCACATAATGAGCCGTGAAGGTTTCCGAGGTACCTTGTAAAGAGAAGAATAGTGGGCCACAGAACAATACTACATTTTCGTCATCAAGAAAAAACAAACCACCGGGTGGTTGACAGTTGAGATCGCTGTGGGCAGGGTGGGTGCGAAGGCAGGGTGTGAAGGGGGTGTCACTTTCTGCTACATTTGTATCCCTAGTTCCTCGACTTCTAAAAACCTGTATTTTCATAAATTACATGTCATTTAAAAATGCAGTGCTCTCTATTTAACCACTGCACTCTTTCTCTCGCACACTTGGCTAGTGAAGTTCTCAGGCAGCCGGACTTGCGCAGAAGGAAAAAACAGTAGGTTTTATTGACTTCCGCACGTCACACTTGGGTCCCGGAGCTCGACTGTTGATGATTTCCTCCCTGTGCCGGCAGAGGTACTAATTTTAGCTTTGCCCGTGTGGTTAGAGATGGAACTTTGTTTTCTTGGAATTCTGGAAACAATGATCACAGAAAAGATCCAGGTTTCTGCAACGCTGCTGTTTCGCTTAGGAGGCTTGGGGGGTTTGTTTGATTTTATTCTTCTCAGGCAGGCTGGAATACGCTTACCGTCCCAAGGACAGACAGACCATTCAGAGTTAAGTTCTTCTGTACTGCTATATGCTAATTATGAGAGCTGGGTAATAAGTGGTATTTCGAATATAAGCATAAAGGGGATACATCTGTGGAAAATTGATGGAAATTCTGGATATAAAAGATAGAGTGGTGATTGAAAATTAAGTTGAAAAATGAAATTAGCAAACTGGCTAAGAGAGCCTCACATGAACGTTAATTGGGATTTAATGGTGTAATCATAGCAGTGGGAAAGAGCGTAATAACATTCTCTCAAACCTGGGCCAGCGGTCTTGCAATTTTCCCTTAGCTGTGGTATGCACAGAAGTTGTACACAACCCATTCCACGAATCAGAATCCAATTATTTTATATTGGTTTCATGCTTTTACCCGAGAGAGGTCCATAAATTGTTTCTAATCACTTCTTTTATTTTAAATCAATGGAGTCTGCCAACAGGGTAACATTTCCCATTAAAACATCACCTGTAATTGGTGTAATTACTTCATAAAGAACTAAACCACAGCAGGGTACGACGGTCTCTCCATTTATAAAATCTAATTCTGTTCCCAACACGATCCCAGACAGACACAGACTTGAACAAAGCCCAGGTGTTTACGACACAGTGGTGGGAAAGATGCAGAGTAACTTGCATACAGCGCCGCCTTGGTTTCCCCGGAAGGTGAGGTTCCCCTCGGGTGGGCTCACAGCTCTGAGCTGAGGCGGAGTGGAGGCTGCAGTCTGGAGTCCCAGGCCGCCCAGGCCGCGGACCCCAGAGGGACAGACGGCAGGGGAGAGGGGCGCGGGCGTGGGCCCTGGCCTCTGTGCCCACGCATCTGCCTTCACCTGCCCTGGACGTGGAGATGCGGACCGTGGTGAGGCAAAGATCCCGTGCTGCGGTTCCTTTAGGAAAACCCCTCCCTTCTGCCACTTCCCGCGCCCCTCAATGCCAAAAGCAGGGTGGAAGAACCTGCCTGGGGAACATCAGGAGAGGGAAGTCGCAGCCCATGGTACCCGGCAGCTGTATCCCCAGTCTTCTCACTTCTTCCATCCCATTTCTGATGCCAGTGGAAAACGTCCTACTTAAGAAATAAAAAGACAAAGAGTGCGCAAACCAACATGCACGCTCCACGCAAACGGCCCTTCAGACTGCTGCGTGTGTGGCTCCTCTGCTGCTCCTACAAGAAGAAAGGGGAAGGAGAGGCACCAGCAGCGTGGAGAACTGAACACTCCTCAGCCGGCTCGGGTGTGGTCCCGAGCAGGGTCCCTCCGCTTCGATTCAGTGGCCCTGAGCGCGAGTCTGCTGCTTTCTTTGCGTTCTATCCCCTTCCTCTTTGGCTGGCACTTGGAGAGGCTGTTTTTCCTCCTCCTCCTCTTCCTCCTCTCTAACCCACACCTCCCAGCAGGACATGTCATTTAGAAGTCAGAAAATGATACATCGCGTGAGATTCGGAGAAAGGAAGTTGGTAAGAGGCCCAAGAGCGAACCGGAAGAAGGAAAGATGTCCCTGTCCCCGGGACCCACAGCAAAGGCTGGCTGCAGAAGGCCAGGGTGGGAGGTGGGTGGGGAGGTGGCTGAGGGCCATGTGTACAGGAGGGAGGAGGTACATGGGGCCACCCCAGAGTTCTCCTACAGAAGGGACTTGCATGTGACAAGCTGGTCTTCACATGCTGTCTCCGTGGCGATGTCACCCAGTGCCGTGCACACTGCTCTCCACCTCCTAATCCCGCCTACCTGTCTAGGCCAGTACTTACCATCCATGCTTTTCCTTCTGTGTTTCTTTCTCCTCTCTCCATCCCCACCCGACCACTTCCCCACTAAATGCAAGGTCTTTGAAGCCAATGACCACCCTCTCTATGGCGTGCCTCTGGCCCCTAGAATGCAAGCCCCGGGTGCAGGGACTTGGCTGGCTGTGTTAATATCCACAGCGTCCGAAGTGCCTTGCTCACGTTAAGGCTTTTCAACGGTCCAGTGAATCCTGGTTAAATAAAATCCTGGAGAGAAAATCCCAGATTCTGCGCTGAGCTTGCATTGTGATAAAGCAGCTGAAATTTCCCCACGGATGGGGCCGTGGCTAAGTACAGTTCCCAATCCCTGGGCACCCAAAGGCTGGCATAGAGCATGGGGTCTGTCTGGTCTCTTCTGTGCATGACAGTGGGGTGGTGTGGGGGACACCAGAGGCGGGGAAGCAGCGGCCTTCCTGCCCCGAGGCCGAGACAAAGCCCACAAGGAGGCTTCGCAGCAGTGGGGGCGCTGTCTTCTTCCAGCTTGACAGCAGCTTTTCTGATATCAATAAATTACGACAGTGAAACGCACTATAAAACCACTATTCCCATGCCACCAAGTGTCCACACTGGGTTGTTAAACATCAAAGATGAATCTCAGTCTGGTTCTTTCTGTTTCCAATACTCCTTGCCTCTTTGTTTCTTTATGATCTTTTCTTTGGAGAAGAATAGGGTAAATGCATAGGATAAAAATCAAGATATTTAAAGAGATTTATGTTTCAACAGAGACAACTGAATTCATGGCAGGGGATGAGCTTTTTGCACTCTGGTGTTGTTCCACTTTGGAGCAAAGCAGCCATAGAGAACCAGGAAAAGGAAAGCCAGACATGCGGCTATCGGCTAGTGATGTCTGCAGGGGTGGCGAGTGCAGTGCAGCTCCAGGCACAGGGTCTGTTTTAACAAGTCTAATAGCTAGATGATACCAAAAATAATTACATCCTGCTGGTCCTGCATCCTGCTACCTCCCCGGATTCCATGATTGTTTAGGGATGGGCCAGCAATGCCACAGGAGAACAGCACCACCACTGTTAACTCCAATGCAGAAAGCGAACTCAGGGTGCCCATACTAAACTACCCCTTTCTTTCTTCTTTGACTAAGTTTTCTCTTTGGAGCTATATTTTAATCTACTCAAGAGAACCTGACGTGATAGGATGAAAATTAAACAAGCTTCTCCCTTTGCAAGCAAATAGTGATGTTTTATTTTAAAAAATGGCTTCTGGTATTTATTTCACCACTGTACATCTTGTGTTACTTATCCTTCCTTGACACAGCAGAGCTACTCTGTACATTTCAATGAAGGAAAATAGGAAGAGGAAGTAGTTTGATTTTTTAAAAAATGTGTTGGTTTCCGTACTAATGCTGATTTCGTTTTTGTTTTTGTTTTTGTGACCACAAAGCAAGTTCCACTTTGGGATCTTGGAGGCAGATTACATTTCTCTTGAGGGGGAGATCCAACCTCCCAATCCAAGGCAGCTTTCCCATATGGACTTTGGCTACGAGCTCTACTTTTTCAAGAGTGAAATCCTATTGAAGTGGCTTTCCAAGATACTCTGTGGAAAGTAAGGGTTAACTGATGGCAACTCCTCATTCATGATCCCCAAGCAGGAGACGAATTCATCCGGCAATAGGGTTTGTTCTGGGAGCGATTCCCTGGGTGAATCACACTCTAAAAGCACGGTGCTTTCATCCTCAACTGAGTTCTGTGCGTCAGGAGGACTGCATTCGCCTTGGCTGAGAATAAGGCTTAATTCTTCAAGAATTAGTGTGTTGTTTAGTGAATTCATACTGGAGACAGAAAAAGCAAGCTGAGGATATTTTTTAAACCTGGCATTCTTTCCTAGGTCTAAGGAGTCCACTGCTGGTTGAGGGGCAGAGGGATCGATTTCATCTGTGTTGCTAACATGGTTTCTCCCAGGGAGGAAATTTGAGATCTGGGGCTTGTAACCAGCGCTGAGATCAGGAATGTACACCACATTGCTCTTGGTGAACAGTGATGCTTTCATGTCCTGGGCTCCTGTTTTCATTTCCTTCCTGTAATCTGCGGGCTTGTGGTCTTCTGAGGGGGAAATTTCTATTATCTCTGTAATCACAGGATCAACATAAAGGACTTGTTCACTGGAATTATTATTAACAAATTCATTTTTTTCCTAGGAAAAAAGAGACATTGTTCTATTTAATAAGAGTCATTGAAAGGAGCCAATTGGATAAATGAAGGAGGGCTGGGAATTTTCTTCCTCATGACTTTCCTTTTCCTCTCCCTTTTTACATATCGTTTATCATCCTGTATGCTTTCCTTCCTTTCTTTTCTTACCTTACTTGCTTCAAAATTTTTATTAAATTCTCCCAAGAGGGAACTGAAGCAAAGGAATAATAAAAAATAATCCACAACTTTAGCACATTGCTTGATTTTTTTTAAAGAGAAAGAAGATTCCTACATATTAACATGCACGTTACTTTAGGGCCTTTTAAAAGCTGGGCTTTGTAGCCAGGCATGGAAGGGCACACCTATAATCCTATCACTCAGGAGGCTGAGTCAGGAAAATTTCTGTGAGTTCAAGGCAAGCTCAGGCTACATCATGAGTTCAAGACCAGCCTGAATTATACAGTGAGAACCTGTCTCAAAAAAAGGAAAAAAGTTGGGCTTTAGAATATGTTGGATCAAACCTTAGTTTGGAGCCTCACTACAAGAAAATATTTTTTTAATTAAATCCAAGAAAAGTCTGAGCCTCCTGTTTTGCTCATATCTTGAGAGAAAGGCTGTGATAAATGCTATTTTCCAAAGGTGTAGAGCTACTCGTAATCCAGACACAGGTGGGTTTTAGTCCCTGGACTTTTCTGGATAAGAAGTGGATTTGATTAGTCTTGGAGAAAATAATTCCCACCCAAGGCAATTATAAAACGACTGCCCCCTGCTACAGATCGAAGGTCTGTAAACCCTGCTCCCCCATTCGTGTGCTCGAGCCAGTGTGATGATATTTGGAGTGGGGCCTCTGGGAGCTGACTGGGTCACATGGATGGATCCCTCGTGAAAGCAGTTAGTGAGCAAGAGACAGGGGAGAGAGGTCCACCTGTCCACCATCCGTCTGCCAGAGGGCTACGCTGACATCTCACCCTGACCTCGGGTTTCCTGACCTCCGGAGCTGTGAGGAAGAAGTCGGAGCTTCTCTGTTTGGGAACTTCCGGTCTAAGTCCTATTCAGAGCCCACTTGGCCGAGACAGCTGACCTCTTTCCTGAGCAGAAACCTCCATCCCCAGAGCCCATGGCAGAGAGGCTGCCTGGCCAGGGGAAGGCTCTTCAGTGAAGTCACCTGAGGCGCACTGGAGTTTTCCTCAGGCCTGGCCTCTCAGGGAACTTGCCAGGTGCCAGTACCAAGGGCACGGTGGGAAGGAGCTGATTAGCAGGCTCCTGAGAGCTTTGAACACAGCCACTTGGATCTGATAAACGCCCCTGTTCGCCTACCCAGCCTGCTGGTCTGGCCTCTCTAGTCACATCTCCCCTCAGCTCACGCTGTCCCCTCCCCCAGGCCGCTCCTCAGCTTCCTGCCTCTTCTCCTGGCCCTCACAGCACGTTTGGGCCGTCTCTGCATCTGGTTATGATGTGTGCACAAATCTATCTGAATGGGACTCTACTCAACTGTCAGTCTGGACCTCGCTCCCCTGCCCAGGTTTTGGTTTGACGGTGTGCGGTCGTTACCTGTAGCATTTTCACAACGTTACTGTTCTCTATGTTAGGGATCTGTTCATGAAGCCACCTGGGTATCAGCAGTAAGATTTTTCTTGTAATTCTAAAAAACGAAACGACCCGTCAGAAGAAGCACGTTCCTGGAGGGCTGCTGCAGACGAGCACAGGGGATCAGGGACAGCTGTGTCCTCTTGGGCGATGCTGAGGGGGTGGCAGCAGCAGGGACAGTGGGGAGGGGCTGTGCCTGTCCCACCCGCCCTCGCACCAGTTTTCCACCACGTTTTCCACGCCCACGGTCCACGGTGATCTGGGCGGAGTGGCTGCCCTGGGAAGGCGGGAGACTCAAGCTGATCTCAGACTCGTTCTCACTGCTGACCAGGACCCGAGGACACAGACAGGGCCCGGTCACTGTCCATGCGCTTCCCCAGGGACTTTACCAAGTGCCAGCCAGAGGCCGAAAGGACCTCCCAAGCCCTGCTTGACCTCGGCTTTAGTCTGGAAGCGTAGACCGAGCTAGCGAGTTCAGGCTTCGAACTTTCTACAGCCTGCTGACACGGTGAGAGCATATTTATGTACCTTCTCCAACTACTGGTTTGATTATATTTAAGAAGCTTTGCGTTTCATTCTCCCCTGATTCCGATGCAGGCCTTTTATAAACAATATGCTGTTATGTTAAATAACAGTATCTCCTGGAAAGGGAACCAAGAGAGGGAAGAGGGAAAGGAGAGAGGAAGGGAATGAAGAAAGAATGAACGAATGAACATGTGTTATGCACACGTGACCACATTCCCCACGAGGAATGTGACCGTCCGGTGCTGCAAACGTGTGCTAATGAAGGATGAAGTGTGGAAAAAATAAATACCTACTTGTATGCAAAATCACTATATTGAAATTATATTCTTTATATATAATCATTATTATTAATATATTATTAAATATACATTATATATTATTAATATATCCTATTAAATATTATATATATATATTTTTTGGTACCAGGGATCAAACTGGGGACCTAGAGCTAACAAGGCAGGTGGCAGCACCACTGAGCTAGATCCCCAGCTTATCTCATTTATAAAAAGAGTACTTATTTCAATAATTAAATTGACCCAGAATTACTCCATTTCCTTGTTATTACCAACTGCAAGTTTGTTTTTATGTTATTTCTAGTAGCAAACTGAATGTCATTTAAACTAACTAGGACTCTTTGGATAATAGGACTATTAATGTTTTTATGGGGTGCTACTTTGAACATTAAGAGGTTTCCAAGGGCTTTATAATCACGTATATTTTAATACAACCCAAAATAAAATTCTATGTCGTTCTCCCTTCTCACAAGGACAGCAGAGATCTGTCAGCATGCAGTTTAGATTTTGAAATATTTCTCAAGTTGTGAGCATGTGGATAGGAAGCCATGACTGTACCTTTTAGAATAGCTTTTTAAAATCATCTTTCCACTGCACTGAGATTGTACATTTAAAAGGAAGATTACATCGCAAGCAAAAGGTGATGATGCAGAAACTCAGGGCCAACTTGGCAGAGAATTAGCATCTGTGTGTAAGTTGATCCTCTGGGAAAGAGCCACACAGGGCAACTCTGTTAACAAAGCAGAAATACGCAAGCACCTGTCAAATTTAGAAAGCCAAAAGCCTTGCTTTCCTACATGACTTCCCTCAAACGTCACCACATTGGGGGAAAAATGATTGAAGGAAGAAATGCTTCAAGGTTGGAGTCCTGAAAGTAACAGAAAGTGGCCCCTTCCACGCCTCTTTTCATATTGAATCCGTTGATTTGCTTGGGGAGAACTCCAGGCAGTTCCTGCCTTAACCACTGTCAAGAATCCCAGGCAGGAGCCAGGCCTGGTGGCGCATGCCTGTGATCTCAGCACTCAGGAGGCTGAGGCAGGAGGATCACTGAGATTTCAAAGCAAGCCCGGGCCACATAGTGAGTTCAAGGGCAGTTGAACTACACACTTAGGCCCTGCCTTAAAAAATGCAAAGAAGCAAAAAGAATCCAGGCACTGTGGGCAACACTGAGGCATCATAACAACGTGGCGAGCAGGAGAGACACCTCCCTGTCTCAGCTGTGCCTGGAGTCCTGGCTGTGCTCTCTGACCTTGGGCTGAGCCCCCAGCCTCTCTGGGTCATCTGTAAAACTGCCCCGAGCTTTCCTGGGGAGGCCACTGTGAGGATGAAGTAAGTGACATTTGTAGAGAGCTCGGCACCCGTTTGTTCTCACCGTGTGTTGTGCTTTTATTTATTTTTTGTACAAATGTTAATGCATTTGTCCAGTAAATAGCAGAATTTTGATAGCGCAGATGTATGATCAGAAAACACAAAGTACAAAACCTACCCGGTTCGCAGCGATCTGTTAAATATCCCGATCAAAGAAAGGATTGACAGCGTGACGGCGAAGAAGAGCATTCCGGATAAAAGTCCAACATCTTGCCTGTTGTCTAATGAAAGGGAAAGAAAGTGATTTTAAGGAAGCGTTAGTGTTCCAGGGGCGCCCGAGTCACAGGTCCCTCCACTTGGCCCCCAGTGGAGGCCACGGATCCCGGAGGAAAGGGGAAAGGGTCGCTCTGGGCTGGGGCGCGGTTCCACACCGGCTCTGGGCCGGGGAGGAGTTTTCGTTTGAGCGAAGAGGCTGCGTGCGCGAGGAGACAGTGGGTTTCCAGACCGGCCCTGCATGGGCGGCGGTCTGCGTGCACATTTTCTCCGAATGCCCTCAGCGATGAACCACACTTGGTTTGTCTGACTCAGGTCATGATTCCTGATAGCTGTGGCAAGGTCTGATACTGGCCACAGCCACAAGAGGGCTGGTTTTTGTTTCTTTAACCTTTGTGTGAGACAGATTTGACATGCAGCTTCTCATCACTGAAACTTTTCCTGCTGAGAAAGGACATTTGTGTGCTCTAAGGAAGAACCCAAACTGCTGTGTATCGTGCACACAGATTCTCAGTGCCTTTCTAGCATTTTAAAGCTGTATTCATCTCCGGAGATCTTCAAATAATCAATAGAATTTATTCAACAGGTGTTACCACTGGGCTTATCACAGTTTCTTCCTGGCACATGAAAAACAGCTCTATTTTCAAATATAGGAGATACCTAAGGGTTTTTTTGTTTTGTTTTTGAGACAGGGTATTGCTCTATAGTTCAGGCTATTTTTAAGCTCAAACTCATGGCAATCCTCCTGCCTCAGCCTCTGCAGTGTTAGGATTACAGGTATGCACCACCACACCCTAGTGATCCCTAAGAGTTGATTTAGACTGGAATTTGTCCTTGGGCCATACAGGATTTTGGTTCCCCCCCTATCCTCCTCCTCATTTCTTGGATCCATAACCCTGGTTATTTCTACACCTTTGAGGGTGCCACGTTTCTGGTCCTTCTCCTAGACCCAGCCGGCAGGCAGGGGCCCACATAGCTTTTCCCCAGCGGAAGAGGGACTTTGTGTTTCCCTGGGGCTGAAGCACTATTGGCGAACAGTTCAAGCCCCTGGGGGTTGTAGGCCGCCCGGTGCTGTGGGCAGAGCACTTGGAGCTGGGTGGAGAATTTCCAGGTTACTGAGGTGCTGGGAGAGGGATGAAGGAGGAGGGGGGCAAGACCAGCATGGGACCCTGCCCCTCAGCACTGAGACACTGGTGTGTACATAAAATAGAGGTGCTGGGTCCTGGCCCACAGCGGCAGAGTCCCTGGCCTCAGCGATCCCCAGACAGATGAACACCCTGCGCTGGCCGCCACCCAGCTCCTGCCCCTTTCCGTGCTGCTTCCCTCACCGCCTGGAAGGGGAGCCCTGGGAAGATGGCACTGCAGACTTTCCCCTACCCAGACCAGGGCTGCAGCGCAGGAGACGCTGAAGGAATGCTTGCTGAGGAATTAAACAAAAGGACAAAGACTCTCAGTGCCCAACATCCATTCTCCTGCCAGTTCTAGCAGATTTGTGTGCTAGAGATTAAGGTCTACCCAGGAAGGAATGAGAAGCTTCTCAATTTAAAAATTCCTATTTAGAGCTATATGTGTCCATTGTACAACCGGACCTAATATTTTCTTGCCTAAATCATTTGGGCATATGCTTATTAATAAGAAATAGCCAGTGCCACTAACAAAAAAAGCAGGAGCTGGTTTATGTACAAGAAAGGGCAGAGACTGCAAGACTTTGGTTTGGTTTGGTTTGGTTTTTGGAGACAGGGTCTCACTATGTAGTTCAGGCTGGCCTTCAACTCATTGTGTAGCCCAGGTTGAGCTCGAACTCATGGTGATCTTCCTGCCTCAGCCTACCCAGTGCTTGGATCACAGCTGTGTGCCACCAAACCTGGCGGGATTACAAGATTTAAAAGGCCAGATTTGAACTTTCAGCTGCTGCTTGGCAGCTGTGTGACCCTTACACAAGTTCCTCAGCCTCTCTGAGCTTCAGTTTTCTCATCTGTGGGACAGATACGTAACACCTGTCTCACTTCGTTGTTTTGAAGACTGAAAAAGGTGATGATATAAACTGCTAGCACAGGGCAGATAGGGGTATATTTTCAGAAAGGAGTTTCTGGGACTTGCCGTCCAGAACTTAATGAAATGAAAATCTACCCACACCACTGCAACAGCTGGCAAAATCAGCCCTCAGATTCAGCTCTAAGCAGATTGAACCTTGCGGAGTGTTTCTCTCCAGAGAGCACGGGGCATATCTTACTACCCAGAGCCTTGTGCCCGGTGTGATTTCCAGCGCAAGGGGTTCGACGGGTGGTTGTTAAAACTCCCCAAGAGCCTCAGAGCCATCTTCTTACCGGAAGTCAGGTGACTCTGTAAGACGGAAGCGACCAGGAGCCCGGAGTCTGAGTCCCGAGCGCCACGCTGCAGGGGCCGCGGGGTGACCTGGGGGGCTGACAGAGGACAGGGCATCAGCATCTCGGGCTCCCCGGAGCCCTTCTCCCTGCTGAGAGCTGAGCTCTGATGGCCTGGAAGCGGGAACCAAAGCGGCGGCCTGCAGGAGTGCGTCTCCCCTGGGTCAGCCTCCGAGGACGAAACGCCCCAGGGACGGCCGCACCTTCCAAGGTCTGCCAGCTGCCGCCTGCGTCCCTCACTCACCAGGCTTCAGAGACAGACGCCAAGGAACTTCCGGGAGATGATGAGATACAGGTGCCTTCCCGAGACCTCCGGGCTGGCGCAGTCTGGGGGCGCCACCGCCCTGTAAGGCCCCCGAGCCTGGTTTTAATGAGCAGAAATGCTGGGTGGTAGCGCGGGGCCCAAGGGGCGTCCTCGAACCCCTCTCTGCCCGCTCCCCACGGGGACCCTGGCCGCCCTGGCTTCGCCTTATCGATGGAAGCTCTGACCTCAGCGGAGGCCTGCACGGAAACTGCCTCCCACCCTGCTGTAACCGAAGTTGCCACTGCCCGAGGTGACTTCAAGGACGCGACGCCTGCAGACATTCCTGAAGTCGGTTCTAAACTGAGTCCCGGAGAGGGACACAAGCCCTGCCCAGTCATTCTGGAGCTGGCATTCAGTTCTTTGCCAAACAATTCTTTTGGGAGAATCACAAGGTGGGGTGTCCCTGGCGGTTGCTGAGATAGCACAGCCTTAGATAACAAGCTACGGGGGTCCCTGCAACTCTTGGAAAAATGGACCACACAGTTTCAGTGCAAAAGTTCCCATGGGTCTTTGGAAATTTTTGGAAAAGGCTACTTTTCTATTGCAGGGCAATTTCCTGAGAACAGTGGGTGAAAACGTCAGAGGCCGGAAGTCCTTTCCTGTTTTTATTCTGGCTTCTCTACCTAGGAGGAAAGCGTCCCTCTGAGTTGTGGCTGCCCAGAGCTTCTCTCTGGCTTCGCTGAGTTTCTTCTGCTCCCTGGCTGGTGTGTCCGCATCAGACTTGAGGACCACAGCCCCGCTGGCCGAGTGTCAGGGTTACTCATGGAAACCGTGTCCTTTCCAGGCACAGCGAGTCGTGGACCCCAGACGCACCATAAAACCCAACACTGTTCAGCCTGGCCGAGGCACAGATATGGTGCTCTATTATTTCTATTTTTACTCTTAATAATTTAAAAATTAGCATTTTTATTTAAAAGCAGTGACATGGTGGCTCTTAATAAAGGCTAACGTAATTATGTTGTACAAGCAGCAGGTAGTTATTTGCAATGAAAATTTACTCAGTTATTAATTCTCATCATGTAAAAATAATTTTCATGGTTGATAGGGCTTTATTAGCCCTAATGGAGAATAAATGCAGTCTCACTTTAGAGTCTATTTGTTTCAGTTTCAAATAAACAGATACATTCACTGGAATTAGATTAAAGTCATTGAAAAGAGGTACTTAATTATGAGAGGGTAATCTTAGAAATAATCAGATACCTGAGGAAGACAACTCACAAAGAAGACTATCAGAGAAGCAGTCAAATCCATGACGCTTTTAAGCACAGGACAGGGCTTTCAAAGCAGGGACCAGTCCTGATCCCACTCTCTCCCAGCACATTGCCACCAAGTGGCCGGTCATTTCTTTTAAAGGCATAGGTAACACTCATTACACAAGCAGAAGTTATCATAAAGACATTTAAACAGGAAAAGTAAGAAGCAGATGAAAGAACCTAATTGCACTCCCCTTAATTCACCAGCTGTTAGTATTTTATAAGTATCTTCATGTATTTTAACACAGGAAAGAATTCACACACACACAGGCAGACACACGATGCCTTTTCAACTGAAAAACATTGTTTCTGTCAGCTCTAATCAGGGTGTTGGCTAAGGGTCAGGAAAGTCTCAGAGTGTCCTCCTTATTTATTTAATACCCATGGTGTTGCTTTTCATGAGACGATTGTGTCCCCACAACAGAATGTTAAATCCCGCCTGTTTCTCTCACGGGGCGTATTTGAATATTCTCAGGGAGCTCAGACCCTCTCTGATTTGGGAAGAATTTTTTTTATGGTTTATACACACTGACAGAGAACTTTAGAGTTGGCCTCCAACAATGTATTTGAAGGAAAGTTAGGGTGATTTCAGGCAAGAAATGTCATTGCTAGCTGAGTGTGAAGATGCAGGCCTATAATCCCAGCACCTGGGGAGGCTGAGGCAGGAGGTTCAGAATTTGGAGCCCACCTGGGGCAACTTAGAGAAATGCCATCTCAAAATAAAAAAATGAAAAGGGCTGGGGATGTAGCTCAGTGTAAAGGCCCTGGGTCTAATGCCCAGTGCACAGATACACACACACATGGAAATATAGTCTTGGATAAAACTTAAGTCATAACATAACCGCATTCTCTGACTCACCAAATGCCAGGTTAAATTAATCAAATCCACTGAAATGGACCTGGTATTCCATTCATTCCCAGACCTGCCCATACGCCTTTCTGTGCCTACCACAGGGACAAATGTGTTTTCTCTCCCCGTGCAGTGTGGGTTTAGTGAGTACTCATCACGCCCAGGCCACACACCAGACTTCACCGCCTTCTGGCTTTGCACCCCCGCCCTGGTCAGGTGGACAGTTCTCTCTGCCGTTTACGGGTGAAGAAACAGTCCTAGAAAGGGGATGAGCTTGCCCTGCACGCCCAGGAGGCAGCTGCAGAGGAAACCCCGTCCCGCCCTGTGCCGCACCAGACCCACCAGTGAACAGTGTCCTCCTGCTGCTGGACAGCCTGGGCCTGGAGCTGTCCCCGGATGGGACCCCACTTTCTCTGCCGGCGCTGGGGAGCCATGGGCCTGGAGGATGGGGACCCCCACACAGGAGCTACGACTAGATAGCACCAATCCTTTTATTTTTTTCCTAAACCAACTACAGTATTTTCCTTGACTGTATGAGCAATACGTGCTAATATAGGACTCGAAAAGTATAGCCGTATAGGAAGACATACACAGTTCTGTGTTTGTTCACAAACTAGGAACAACTCTTTTTTATATTTGTCGCATCTTCTGTGTACATCTGTACTCTATGGAGATCATACTCTTTACTGCGGTGTGCTCTGTCTTTTTCGTTCAGTGTCGCAGAGTGAACGTTTTGTTATGCTACTAAAAATCATCCAAAACATCATACGATGGCTATTTAATATTTCATCATGTTTGAGCTGTGTTTATTCAGCGATTCGCCTGTGGGGAACCCTTATAGCTTGGTGATTTCAAAGACCGAAGTGGACGCGGGTGAAACCGTCTACACCTCAGCTCCAGCACGTGGAGTCATGCAGCTCTGGACAAGTTGTTTGTCCTTCTGTGACTCAGTTTCTTCACCTGTAAAATTGGATAATAGCAGGGCTTCTCTCTTGAAGTTTGATGAGAGCATTCCTATCAAGCACCCAGTACCACATTTTATATAATTTAAAAAACTACTAAGTATTCATCATTGGTATTGTTGGATGTATACGGATTCTGATTCTTACTATTAAAATTGGCCTTTGGACCAGTATCACTGTGCATAAATTTCCTTTCCACATCTCCTGGTCTCCTCATCCTGGACTGTTCCTAAGGTGAGGTTTCTACAAGTGCAGTCCCTGGGCCAAAGAGTGAAGCCCTGGGGTAGGCTTCTCTATTTACTTCTGTCCTCACCAATCTTTGGGTTACAGCCATGCCCACCAAGACCTGCATTCTGCTGGGTTTGAGTGGAGCCGCTGACACAGGGTTCTTTCTGGACCTTTCTTTCAGAAGCTTCTAGATATTCCAGTAAGAGGTGTCATATTAAAAGAGACCAAGAGCTGGGGATTTAGCTCAGTGGATCTGCTGCCCACCTCACAAGCATAAGGTCCCAAGTTTGATCCCTGGTACCCCCCCCAAAAAATGTCTGGGCTGGGAGTTTAGCTCAGTGGTTCCACTGCCTGCCTTGAAAGCCCAAGGACCCAAGTTCGATCCTTGGTACCAAAAAAAAAAAAAAAAAGAGAGAGAGAGAGAAAGTGTGTTTTTCAAATTATTGGAGTTCCTCCACACATTCTGGCTTTTTTTTTTTTTTTTAAGCACAAGCATCTCCTTTTGGTTTCTGTCTTCCTAGTCTTCATTTAATAATTCAGCGGCATCGCCACATTTAAGTGCTGTCTCCCAAGGCCAGGCCAGCTCACTCCGTGGTTGGAATTCAGCTTTACTAGGCCACGGGCAAAGGTTCGGCCCCGCCCACATCAGCAAAATGAAGACAAGGGCCCCACAGGGCGGGTCAGGGCGGAGAACATGGTGTGTCAGCAGTGCACTCCGGCCACACCTTGAGAAACAAATCCAGTGCTGAATCATCCGGGGGATTCGTGGGTTGTGTCATCCGTGTGACTCGAGACAGCGAGGTGTCTGCATTCGTACTGGGTGTGTACACACGGAAGGTAAATCACGGGCCATACGGAGACGGCGGTCTAACATCAAACTGTAGCGAAACCACGCAAGGAAGGGCAGCTTCCATAGTCACCAGCGGCCAAGGGTTCCCTGGAAGGGCGGCACGGCCTGCCTCCGAGTCCAAGCAGTCTACTGCACACTTGCATGTGCCAGGTGCCCAGTGCCAGGACGTACTTCCGGCGGGCACCCTGAGACAGATACGGACAGGACTGCAGAGTCCTGAGGTGCACAGCTCCCAGGGCATGCAGACCAGGTGTCGCCGCCCTCAACTCCCAGACTTTGGGAGTGAGAAGTGATGGGCAGCTTCGGGAAGCTACTTTACCTGGCACAGACCGAAGGCGCAGCGGTCTCAGGACTGGGGATGGCCGCACCCTGGGCTGTGCCAGGCCCGGGACGTGCATGGCAAGGGCCACGGTGCCACCCACGGGCTTCTCACCAGCCGCCTTGTCCTGGCTGTGGTTCTGGTTCCCATCACACCTGGACTCCACTTGTGCCCCTTGCACCAGCCTCTGTCCTCACTTCGGTCTTGCCAGTGGTCTCCTTTCTGTGTAAAGCAACCAGACGTGACTTTTTCTGCTTACCCTTGACCCCCCTGCATAGTAAAAGCCACACGTGGAGGTGGCACATGGCTCGGTGATGCCTTAGGACAAGTACTGGCTTCCTAAAACCTCCTGATGTGTCCCTGCCTTCATCTTTGCCATTCGGGACTAGGTTACTTTACAAGGCACGAGGGACTTGAGTTGGGACCATAGTCCCGGATTCTATGGGTGGGTCCAATGAAATCCCAAGGGTGCTTCTAAGACGTTGTTGTTGTTTTTTAAATTCTATGCAAATTTAATGTTCTTTAGAGTCAGGATCCAAGGAAATTTACATAAATCCAAACGAAAAGTCTAACATGTTTAGTATTTCAAGGATCACAGTGTGTTGTTTAGCAGTTTAGCAACCAAGAATTACAAATTTATAATCCATCTCCATGTGGATGAACGACAAATCTCTAATTAAAAATACAAAAATTTTGGAAAAACTCCATGCACCACCACTGAAGTTGCATCAGATTTAATACCCCTATTTCGTTCCAGTGACATAATATTTGTTTTTTGCTCTTTCAGCTACTAAAAGTCCTGAAAACTTAATAAGAACCTTTAAAGATCCTTTTGAGACGCAACCAGCAGTAATTTTAGGAGAACAAAGAGAAATTTGGAGCAGTTGCTGGTACTTGCCTTTCTCTGGAGAACACCAAGGGTTAGAAGCGGTTTCTCTGCAACTTCGGTGAGCTGCGGATGCACGCACTTCGTGGAGCCTCGCTGAGGCGCTGCCGCCCCGGGCGTCCCGCTTACTAAAGGGCGACAGAGCTGTGCTTTCTGCACGACAGACTTTCAAACCACCCGCGCCAGGGAGCGGCACCTGCACCGTTTTCACGTTGGTTGCAGTGAATTCAGGGAAAAGCAACTTTCCCACTTTCCTTCTCTACGCTGACAAACCTTCTCCCCCTTGGGGCCCTTTGTGCACTCCGTGGCCGGCAGCGCGTCGGGGTAGCAGCTCCAGCTTCTGCAGCCCTGCGGTCCCGGCCCAGCTGAAGCCTCCGAGGCACAGGGCCGCACCGCTCTCTCTTGCTCCTCCGCCCCTTCCCTGCCCTCTCCCAATCCTGCTTCGTGGTAGCTCGTGTTCTCTTCGCCTGTTTGCCTTTGTGGAACGCACCGCATTAACAGTATTGGCCTGGCCTTGTCCCTAGCGCCGTCCCAGAGAAGAGGACCTCGTGGGTCAGCGGCACCAGCGGAGCTGTGAATAACGGTGCTGGAAGCCCACGCCCGAGTCCAGCCCAGCCTGGCCGTCTCCTCGGGACACGGAAGTGTGACCGCGCCCCTCTCGCTGGACTCCTAAGTCCCCTAGAGAATGCTTCTCGCGGTGTCTGTCGCGTTCTCAGTGAAGAGCATCCAGGACCCGTTAGCGATCCTGCGACCACTTCGTGGGCCTCTTGCTAATTCAGCAGGAAAAAGAGAAGGGGCCCTGCTGCTTGTGAAAGCTTCATATTATATTCTCAGGGGCTGGTCCTCCTTCTCTTCTTTCTTTCTTTCGTCCCTTTTCAGAATAAGGTTTTGGTTTCCATGAAAGGCTACTCTCAGGAAGGAAAACAGATTCTCACAAGTCACTTAACCCCCCACAAATGAGTTGCTTTGCCTTCTTTCTGTGTGGAGATGAACAATTCAGTGAAACACACACATAAGAATGTCAGAGACTAAAACAGGAAATTCCTGCCTGAAGGGAACATTACCGCCTGGACTGTGTTCTTCATAAATAAACCTTAGTTACTGGAAAGGCCTCAAACCTCATTATCAAACAAATGGGTTAAGTAAAGTAATATTTTGTTTTTGTAATCATAACACAAGTCAAATTTGAGCCATGAAGCCTGATTCTTTCTGCTTTCATTTATAGTGCTATGATTTGTGCAGTTCTTATGCTGGATTTTTTTTTCTGTCTTCTCCATAATGAAAGTTTTCCAAAGGAGTCTCTGTGACTCCCTGAGATTTTCCAGCACTGAGCAAGGCCCAGGCACGTGGTAGAGGCTGAACAGCCCCTCCTTCGTGAGTGAGAGAATATCTTTCTATGGAAAACTTTATTACAAGACAGGGTATCACTAAGTCACTCAGTTGCTCAGGCGAGGCTTGACCTTGAAGTCCTCCTGCCTCAGCCTCCAGAACGCCAGGATTACAAGTGTGCACCAGCAGGCCCTCATGGATGCCTTTTAGAAAATAATTCATATGAAAGATTTCTAAAAAGCAATTTGGCAGCATACATCAGCAGCGAAATTGTGCTTAACTGTTCATCTAATAATTCTTTAGACCTAAAAAAGGATCATTTATATGCAAATCTATCAAAGAAGTTTACTGGAAATGATTTAAAAGGAAATAACCTTTTCCCTTTGATATTGTTTAAATAAGGTTTAGATATATCATAATGCCTCCATGGACTTGAATGTCATGCAGCCATTAAATAGCTTAATTTTTATTAAGTAGCTTTTAAAAACCCAACAAAATAATCTAAGCAAGTCATAATATGAAATAGCAAACACACCACACCGCCAGTCATTACAAAATAAGTGCCCAGGAAAAAATAAGTACTAAACTGATTAAAATGTGAATGACAGGCATTTCTAAGTTGTATATGATAACAAACTCGAATTGCTTTTACAAACAGAAAAAAGAGACACATGTTTTGTTTTGGTACAGGGGATCAAACTCCGGACCTTTCGCTTGTGAGGCAGGCGCTGGAACCACTGAGCTAAATCCCCAACCCAAAGAGACACATTTTTAATATTTGCACTTTCCCTAACTCACATCTACTGTGTCTTAGAGATTTGTACCAAGAGAATAGGTTATGGTTCCTCTTGGCTAACGTGGAAAACTTGGATAGATTCAATTTTCGGAGCTACTTTATTTTCACACATATTTATTTTGTTATTTTTTCCCCTTAAGTGATTTTTCTCCTTAGGAAACCGAAGACTTAGTTTAGACTGTTGGAGGGAGGGTCTCTCTAGCGGGTATCGAGCTCAGGACCTTGACCTTGTGAGAGGCGCCACTGAACTAAATCCCGGCTCACTCTGGTGTTCTTACCCCCTCTTGTCTCGGGTGGGAGACCTTTACCCTAAAAACACTTGTGGGCCTCTGCACCCCTCGGCCGGTATTTAGATTGGCCGCGCCCCACTTTTCCACCAAGATCCGTGAGCTCGCTCGGGGCGCTGGGGGAGGCGGCCGGGTCTGGGTGGTCAGGCGCCTGTCCTCCTGCAGCGTGCCAGCCACTAGTCTGCCCTCGGTTACTGTGTCTGTGAAAGGGCCCTGATCACACTGCCAAACGCGGGTGACGTGAAAATCAAACAAGCTTGTGCACAGCAAGGCAGTACTGCGTAAGCGCTAAATTGCCAATTTGAATAATCTTGTTAGGTGATTCTAGAGTTTGTTAAAAACCATGGGTGCCGGCTAAATTGTACTCTAAAACGGTGTCTAAAAATTCTTCACAATGTCAATTTAAGACAGAATACCTTAAATGAAAAACAGGTTTTCAGAAAAGAGAACTGATACTCATTAATGAAAATAATTCCCTTAATAATGTTGTTCTAACATTTGGGCATCAGGGGGCGCCAAAAGAACTTCTGAGGACTGGCTCTTGGTTTCCCCACTTGCGGTGCATCATTAATATTTACAATGCATGTGGAAGGGCTTTGAAAACATAAGACTCAACTCCAAGATGTTTTAAGGGTGATATTAAAAATGCTGTGAGTATAGTGAATGTTTGAAAGGAAAAATTGAAACCTAGTGTATAAACTACAGACAGCAGAGAGGTTGAGGCCATGATGGGTAGGACAATGATTTTAATAGATTCATTTATTATTTGCTCACCGCTGAAGTCTACTTAGCTAAGCAACTGTTATCGAATGACATGAATAAATATATATAAAATTAAACTAATAATATTAGGAATGGGAAAATTTCTGAGGCGATACAGAGCAGAGAACTGATTGATCCCATGTTTGACTATTTGAAGAATATATGTTTTGGGGAATTCTTAGTAATTTTCAAAACAAAATTTTATAGAACTATGTGCCTCACCCCCACCCAGGAAGTTTGTAAGAAATGCCCATGTTAAGCCCCCCTAACTGTTGAATCAGACCCTTGGGGGCAGTGGTGGTGGGGGTGCACAACTTAAACAAGGGTCTCCTTGTCTGTTTTCATGTCCGGAAGTGTTCGAGAACAAGTTCCTAAACTGTAGTCACCCTCAGCAAAATCAAAGCAATATGATGAGTTGTGTATCTGCCCTAGTTTTCTCCATGTGGGGAGAAGTCCAGGCTAAACAGATACACGTGCTTAGAAAAAGGCTAGACGTCAAAAGGAAAGCCTTGGAGGAGAAAACCGTACACTGACTCACCTGTCGCAGGTGTTTTGTGGTAAAAGGGTGCGCTCCAGGGCTGCCAGAACCTCTTCCCTGTTCCTCGACACCTCACTTGAAACACGTAACTAAGATCTGGCTCCAAGAAGAATTCGGACTGTTGTGCATACGTGATGTTGGTGTCCAATTCTGTAACCTGAAATAAGTGCCCAGCAGGGATAAGACGATTCAGCATGCTTTTAAAGCGAAGTTATTCTGCTTAGCAGAAAGGTATGGAGTGTTGGCTACCTCCCCACACCCCTCCAAACCCTGAAAAATGGAGAGAAAAAATGCACAGAATCAAATACGTGTTTTAAACAGTAAAGGCGAAGTTCGTGTTGCTATGCATTTGCCCACTTTCTCAAGCTTATGGAATCTCAGGGAAACCCCAAATGTCACCTATTCTACATATGGAACAGCTGATTTTAATGGGACAGGGAAATGCAGGACTGGATGGCCATTGCTTCTACCCTTTCTCTTTGTCTCCCTGTCTCTTGACACTTTATTTTTCTCTCTGCTTTTGAATATTTGAATCAACAATTTTTTCCTGAATGATAAAAAGAATTAATTTGCTTGTGATTACTTTTAGAAAAAATGAGCCAGTAAGTTCAGCTGTTAAGCCGGTCATTATAATAGATTTAGGCAAACTCCACAAGGCTTTGAGAGAGAGAGAGAGAGAGAGAGAGAGAGAGAGAGAGAGAGAGAGAGGGAGAGAGAGAGAAACAGTCCAGGGTCTACTGAAATAAAACACGGAGAAGTGACTCCAGACATCTCACTCCTGGGAGACACTGAGGCATTTGCAGAGCCCCTTCTGAGAGTGGTAGCAAGCAATTTACAGAAGAAAGCAGTGCATGATCAGGACCTGGGAGACCTGGCAGAGATCTCACCCATCCTGCTAAACATACTCGGCTTCCTGTCAGCATTTCTCCCAAGAAATTTTTCTCCTCCAGTTTGTTATTTACCATCATGTTTATAGATAAGTCCTCTTGAGGAAAAGAAATGTCCTAAAACTAAGCCAGAAATCCAAAGTTGGAAGACTATGTGGGAGCACAGGGTACTGGGGATAGAAGCCAGAGCCCTGACTTCAAGCTACACCCTCATTTTTTGTTGTCGTTTTCTGAGACAGGGCCTCACTACACAGCTCAGGCTGACCTTGAATTCAATGCAATCCTCCTGCTTCAGCCTCCCAAGTGCTGGGATTATAGGCGTGTACCACATGCCCTCAGTCTTTTTTTATTTTCTGCCCAGCCTGAGAAACTTGACTTAGTGAGACTTTATCTAATAAATAAATAAATAATGACACCTTTTTTGGGCTAAAGTGACTATCAAGACCTAGACCTAGTTCCCTCCCCCGACAGGAGATATACTTCAGGATGATAAGGAATGTCACTTTTTAAAAGTAGTAATTCCTCTTCACAGTCTGGGTCCTGGAGGCTGGAGGATCCTGGAGCTTGGGCTCCCTTGGGTAGAGCTCTGGCTTCCCTGGGGTGGCTCCGATGTTCTTAGAGCACTGCTGTGTAGTCAGCAGGGCCCAGCTGGGCAGAGCATTCCGTCCCAGGTCCCTGCCTGCCATGGTGGTGGGTGGTGGAGGTGGCGGTGATCTCAGAGCTCCTACACACTCCCCTCTGGCCTCTCCCGCTCCTGTCTGCCCTGCACTCTGCCCAGGTGGCTTTATTTTTTTTAATTGATTAAATTTGCTGGTACATTTTAGATAGACCTCATGAGCACATTCACTGTAGGCTTTGTGCCTGTACATGATGTGTCTTGATTCTTTTTTACACTCCATTCCCTGCCCCCTTCAACTCCATTTCCCCTCCTTATTTACAAAGGCTTTGTTACATTGTTTCCTTCCTGTTTCATTTGCTTTTCCTTTCCCTTCCTCCCCACTCCCTAGTTCCTCTACCCACCTGAACATTTTCTTCCTATTTCACAGTATGAATTATACATTTTGGCCCTCATTTACACTTTCAGTTTCTCACATCAGAGAAACAACGTGATATTTACACGTGTGTCCTAGTGATTCCACTTAAGCGCATGGTCTCAAGGTGCACCCATTTAGCTATAAATGTCTCAAGTTTTATCCTTTATGGCTGAGCAGTACTCCGCTGTAGAAAAAAAACAAACAAACCACATCTTCTTTATCCTTTCTGCCCAAGTAGCTTCAACCTGGTGTTAGGAGGAGGGAGGTGGGCGGTGACCTCAAGAGCAGGAGCTTGGTCCTTTGCCATCCGTGTCTATCGCCCCTGCAGGGCAGGAACAGAGGCTGCTTGTGTGCAGCCCCTCTGAGAAGGGATTTTACACATGTAAACAGTTGAAAGAAAACTGCAAGGTTATTTCATGATGCACAGAAACAGGACTGAATTTCAGTGTCCAAAACAGAAGTGAACACAGCTGTGTGCATTTTTAGGCCACACAGGCCCAAGCACTCAGAACAGAAGCATCCTGTCCTAAGCCAGGAGTGGTGCAGGTTTGTAATCCCAGTGTTTGGGAGGCCGAGGCAGGTGGATCACAGATTAGGCCAGCCTGGCCTATATAGGGAGACCTTGTCCACCCACACACACAATAGAAAGAAAAGAAGGAAGGAAAATAAAAAGAAGGCTTATGTCCTGCACTGCAAAGCCTCAAATATTTACCATGTGGCCCTTAAATAAAAAGTTCACCAACCTCCTGGTTTGGTTTAATTAGAGAAATGTTACTATTGATCTACTTATTTGAATTTACAGGCAAAAATCTTCTGCCTTAGGTACCATTCAAGGCATGTGATAACAATAATAATAGCAAAGACGTGCAGGATTATCTCTAGAGCTAGACATAAAAATGAGCAGCATGCAGGAGTGATGGCAGCAGGGGCCCACGGGAACGGGTGAACACAGGCCAGTGCCTGCCAGGGGCAGATGCTCCTGAAACGGGGTACAAGAGCAGGCACAGATTACTACTGGCTCTGCGAACTCACTTTTTCTTACTGAGACAGGGCCTCACTGTGTAGTTCCTGCTGGTTCTGGACTCGCTGTGCAGCCCAAGCTGTCCTTGAGATCACAGAGAGCCTCCTGCCTCAGCCCCCTGAGTGCTAGGATTATAGGTGCATACCACCATGCCCAGCCCAGCCCCGCTTCCTGCGAATCTAAGAAGGGGCCAAGACTAAGGAGGTGCTCAGAAATGGTCCCCAGGGGCACAGTTTCACTTACAGGGCAGAATCGGAGCCATTTCTCAGGAGGGACTGGCCACGCCTCCCCCTCATCTCCGCGCAGCTGGGCCAAAGGGCTCTAAATCCTCCAAACCCGAGGGTTCAATCCCCTCACCACCGCGCCCACCTGAGGCCCAGCTTGCTGAAGGGTGAGACTCACAGCTGGAGATCCCGAGTGCACCCAGCCCCAGGCCCGTCCCTGCTCCTCACGGCCACCCTCAGGGCATAGACAGCACGGCCAGGCCTGCAGGCCCAGGCAGCCACCCTCCGAGGGGTAGGCAGGCGGGTCACCGGGCCCAGGCAGGAGGATCCTCTGTTCTCTCTTCTTCCTGCCTCCCTTCCGACTTTCCTTCCTTCCCTGCTTTTTTGCAGCTGCCCAGGATTGAGCCCAGGGCCTTCTCCCTGAGCTAATCCCTTGCCCTTTCTATTCCGTATTTTGAGACATGGTCTCACTAGAATGCTAAATTTCCCAGGCTGGGCTCAAACTTGCACTCCTCCTGCCTCAGCCTCTCAGAGCGCTGCGCTTTTGCACCAATTCCTGCTTCTCTAGAGGCCCCACGAAGTTCAGCATGGAATACTTAAAATTTTATCTCCACAGTCAGTGATGCAAACCTCATCCTAGGGGACCCTGAATGACAAGGGGCTAAAATTAGACTAGATCCTCTCGGGTGAAGATCTGATCTATTCAGCAATTCGGAAAAGGCAAGCCAGTCCCGTCAGGAAACAGCTCCCTGCCGGCCTGCGGAACCTGGCTGACCCCGGAGCGAGCGGAGTCCTCCACCCCGCGGCTGCGGACGCGCTGGGGCGGCGCTCACTGCTCACCGTCCACGTGTGGTTGGCGGCAGCCTTGTGCCGCAGCTCGCAGGACACCGCCTCCAGCGCCGTGTCGCTGTGCCAGTGAACGACGGTTCTGGGAGCTGTGGCGTTCAGGGTCTCGGCCCCGGAGATGACGGACGCGGCCGGGATCACTAGAAAAAGGGCCACAGCGTCACGGCCTCGCACTTGCTCTCAGAAACTGGGCAGCAGACGGTTAGACTCAGAGCGCAGGGACACCAGTCGCGGTCTGATCCCAACTGCTGAAGCCCGCCTAGCCCCTGGTCTCGTGCACAGGGGAGAGCAGCTGTTAATGCCTTCGGGTCGGCCTCTTCTCCATATTTTAAATATATGTGTGTGTGTGTTTGTAGCCCAGGCTGGCCTCAGGGGAGCCTAGCATTGGAGAGAGCCTGCGGGTCCGCGCCTCCCCTGTCCAGCGCGCTTTGGGACCAGGACCCCCACGTCGAACGCCAGCGCCCCCTGCTCGCGGTGAGCCTTCCCACCAGGCCTCTCGCAAAGAACCCGCCCTGTCCGGCCTCTGGGCTGTATGCTCGCGTTCTCTTCCCCTGGGGCCGGCACACTTGTCCCCTCAGTGTCTCAGCCCCAGGTCACCAGTGAGAGACCTGCTAGCAGGCCAAGCTGGAGGTCCCCACGCTGAGCTGCGGGCTCTTTCCTGAGTCTTGGAGGTCAGAGGAGGAGGAGAGGGAGAGTGAGGAAGGGCAGAAGGGCAGCCGCTCCCAACTGTCCACTGCTGTGGTGGACTTGGAGACGGAGCCCGGTCGGGCTCTCCTTTGTGGACCGGAGGTGGCGTTGACCAGAGGACTCGGCGAGTCTGGGATAAACCTGCACCTCCAGATCACCAGCGGCGGCCTCGGACACAACCTTTTCCCATCTTCCACATCCCTGACTAATGGGCTCAGTTCTCCTGTGTGTGGTTGTTTAATTCCCAAAATTAAACGCAGTGCACAGGACAGGCGTCTGAACAGCGTGTGTTCACCGAGCAGGCGGGATGATATTGGGATTGTAACAGTAATGTGGCCCCTCCTACTGATTAGAATTTAGTTGCTATAAAGTCACTGATACTGGCCACGAGGCTTCCATGGCGCTCCTCCACCAACGAGCTGTGGACAGAGGGCCCTTGCTGTGTGTTCCCTGGAGGGGAAGCCTACAAACTCATGTGGGGAGAACCTCAACTCCCAGAACTGACGTGGAAACAGAGCTTTTGCCCATCAGACCAAACCACAGTGTGGGCCTCTGTTCTGATTGCGTCCAGAGGCCCACAAAGCCTCAGGTGGCCACGGTGGGGCTTTTCAGAGGTGGCTGCATGTAGAGTGTGGGACACTGGGATGGATTCGTGGTGCAGTGCTGGGATCGAGGGCACAGGGATTAAGGGTGTGAGTGCCATGCCCCGAGCACCCTGGATAAGACAAAAGGCAGGGAGGGCTGTAAGGTCCCTGGGTGCTTTGCTGTCTCCCACGGCCTTGAGCTGCGGCCCTGAGTTCCCAGCTGGAAGTTGTGACGTCATTGTGACAGGAGCTTTGACAACAGCCCAAAGCGCCCCACCGCACCCCGAGAGGCTTCATGGAGAGTAGCAGTTCTGCTGCAGGGGGTTTTATTCCCTCCTAAAAGCCGGGCAGAGAGGCCGGGCAGCGGGTGTCTCCACCTCATCTACAGAGTCGGAGGTTTGTGATGGTTGAGTAAAATCCAATACAGAAAGCAGTTATGCGTGAAGAAATGCGAGGTAAATGTTAGCTTCTTGGGGTTCTCCTTGATAACAACGGGGTCGCCCATGCTGGGAACCCACAGAGACAGTGAGGCCTGTCGGCAGCTCCTGCTCTGAGTTCTGACTCCGGGCCCAGGTGAAGTCGTAAAGGCTTCAAGGGCGAACGGTCGATGGACTGACGGACTGAACGGTTGAGATACAGCCTGCCGGTGTAGCCCAGGCTGGCCTTGAACTCACTGTGTAGCCCAGGCTGGCCTTGGGAAACGACCAGGACTCTACAGAAAGGCATTTTCAAGGCAGTTCGTGGGAACACAGGCTGTACCGGTGAGAAACTGAGAAAGGTCAAGTCCAGCAATGCGGATCAGACTGACACACTCAGGCCACACTGAACACGACACTGTGGGCGGCTGTGTAGTAAGGAAAGGGGCGTGGTCTTAAATACCCGGAGCAGAAATGCCACCTGTGTCACGTCTGTCCATGGATTGGGGATGCCTGCGGAGCTCTCTGTGGTTGTCTGAGTGTTTTGTAAAACAGAAATAAAGACAGGAAACTCCACAGATGGGCATCTCACAGCATGAGCCCCACACACTGTCACGATCCTTGTTTCTTTCCCTGTCTGTTCCCTGGTACATCACAAGCTATTTTAGAGTAGCTTATTTTATTTTATTTTTGTAGTGGGGATCAAACTTGGGACCTTGTGCTTGTGAGGCAAGCAGCGGTGCCACTGAGCCTAATCCCCGGCCCTAGAGTAGCTTATTTTAGCAAAGGTTCTCTGTCCATCTTACTCTCCCTGGCCCAAAGAGCAATGTTTGGGGCAGTAGGAGTTCCCGATAAATACAAAGTTCCTGTAAAATCACACACCCGGGATGCAACGGGAAGGACGGACACGAGGTGCCAGCAGCACTCATCTCCAACTGCCTCAGAGGAACCACGGGGTCCTCTCTGTTCTGTGTCCTGACTTTGGGGACCTTCGTGCAGATGTAGCCTGCATTTGGCTAGGCCAGCATACATTCCTATATTACAGATGCATGGATCCTAGTATTTGGGAGGCTGAGGCAGGAGGATCCCCTCCAGTTGAAGGCCAGCCTGGGCTGCAGAGTTAGATTCTGTCTCCAAAAAGATTTCTTTGAAAAGTTATAGCCCCGCTTCTCCTTACCTACGTCTTCCAGGTAAACTTGCAAGGGTTTAGACTCCTCCATGCCGAGTGCGTTCGCAGCCTGGACCCAAACCCGGTACTTCCTGCCTGCCGGCAGTGCATCCACAGAGATGTCCATGGGGCATCTCAAGGGGCGATACCGTCGCTCTTCTCCTGTCTCCAAACTTAAAAGGAAGATCATCTCGAGTTAGATGTAGTTAAGTACTCCAGAACTTTACAATGACACTCTCCTCAGTTTGCTGTCAGACACGCAGTCTTGGACTGAAAAAGGAATCAAATTCCACTTTAGTTTCTGAAATTCCAAAACAAGTGCAAGCTGGGGTGTTGGCACATGCCTATAACCCCAGTGCTCCAGGAGGCTGAGGCAGGAGGGTGGAGAGTTTGAGCCTGAGTGCTGACCTGACTTGTTTATCTCACAGTGTCACCAGCTCTCTGTCCCCCAGCCTGGCCCTATAGAATTTGCCCAGAAAGCAGAGCTTAGAACATTTTTAGCCCCGGGGTCCACTCCAGCCCGCACTACTGCTTATCGGTTCTGCAGCTCCTGGGTGTCTCCAGCCGACAACATTCAACCAACTTAGACTGTGACAGCCGCCCTTAGGCTCTGGAGTGTAGGGGACAGAAAGAGGGAGCAGCTGCCTCATGCCACCAACCAGCAGTGTGTGTGTGTTGTGTGGGCTTTTTATGCAAGGGATGACTGAGAAATTGCTCATGTTTAAATTTAAAAATTCACATTTAAAATAAAAACTGCAGCACTAGACACACTGCCATTCGCATCCTTGAAAAATACTGCGTTTCAAACACACTCATCCCATCGCAGCAGCTCATGGACAGCGCTGGACTCCTGAGCGTCTTTACAAGATGGGATCAAAAACACAGCGACTGCTGTCACCAAGCACAGTCCAGCAGAAAAGCACTTGGAAAACAACACGACGCTGTGTCCTCCTCCACCTGTCACTGCATCTGGCACTGTGTGACTTCCAGCTCGTCCCCAAAGTCAGGATGACCACGAGAGGGGAGTGTTGGGATCGATTCAAGACGTCCAGGCAGCCAGGACAGCACAGATACGGAGAGAGGACTCCAGAGCTGCTGCAGAAAGTGGCCAGGACGGTGGGACGAGTGTGCCGGACCGGAGGGAAGGATTGTGAGGGATTCGTGGCCGTGTGGCCTCGCTGTTATAACTCATTTTTAAGTTGAAAGCTTCTGCACACTTCTCAGTCACCGCTCACACAGTTTGACAGACACGTACAAATCCTCCCACTCCCACAGAGCAGGCACCCAGGGCCCCTCTCTCAAGCTGAGCTGGGGTTGGGTGGCAGAGAGCCCTGAGTCCCCCTGGCTTGGAGCGGCCAGGGCTGCCCCTCATCTACACCACAGCGAGGCCACTGTGACCATCAGGAGGGGCAAAGTCGGGTGGGTCATGGTGTCCCAAGGCCCGTGTTCTAGGGACGGACTCGGAGGGCCCCTGAGAAACTGTGGGACTGGGGCCGGTCACCTGGGTCACCCCTCTGTAAAAGTGGCAGTAACAGTGCTGTATTCATCAGTAAGGGAGATAGGAAAGCAAGGGTCAGAGGACCCACACACGGCTCACGGAGGCTGTTATGAGGGATTAAAGGTACTGGCGAGTGATCTTTTCTATTGTTTCATTTTTCTGAGACAGGATCTCACTATATACAGGTCCAGACTGACCCCCAACTCATGGGCTCCTCCTGCCTCAGCCTCCCAAGTGCTAGGGTCACAGGTGTGTGTCACCACACCCAACAGAATGTATCACTTTTATGAAACGTTGCTTTATTTCTTCAGTATTGCTTGTCTCTAAAGTTGAATTAAACCACTAAGTTCAAGTATTTCTACAACTACTTAATATTCTTTCTCAATGAAATGGAACATCAATGCACTAACCCGAGAACTTGAGAGAGGATATGCTAATCTTAGGCTAGATAAGGACTCAAATGTGAGAATGGCAGCACTGGGTAAGTAGGTGGATGTCTGAATATTTTCCAGTTAGAGAAAACCACGTGTGTGTTCTCATTCGTTTGTGGCTAATCCTTTTACCACACCTATTGAGATCTGAAGTCAAATGGAAATTTATTTTCAAACCAGCGCTAATCAGAGTTAGTAGGTCATTTAATTCTGCTTTGAAAGCCAACCCCGTGTTAGTTCCTAGACCACAAGCACCATTTTAGTCGCAAACCCAGCAATAGTGAGTGACGCTATCGGAGGACTTGTAACAGCACAGTGTCCTCATCTGGGGCCCCGCACGCCAGTGGAGGGAGCCTGCCGGATGGGATGGGAAGGTCCGAGGCAGTGACTTAGCTTGGCTGGGGCCTGGGTGGAGACGTGGAGGAGGCATCAGGTGGGCACCTGCCCGGGAGGAGAGGGCTGGGCTGGACCTGGACAGGAGGGTCTACCCTGCGGATCGGCTTGGGACTGGGCCGTGAGAGCGGATGAAGACCCTAAGAGCTGTGAGTCTCTGCTGCTTCACTGCAAAGAGGAGACTGAGAAGAGCACCCAGGGAGGCAGGAGAAGGAGCCCATGGGTCGGGGCCCAGAGCCAAGGAAGAGGTCAGTGTGGAACAGGGGGCACTGCTGGGGAGCGAGGGAGGAGCCAGGCGGGACTTGGCACGGGGTCTGTGTCCCGTCCACGCTGTGTCAGCAGGGCAGTGAGTGAGCAATACAACGTGAGGTGGGAAGAAAGCCGGGGTGGGGTTACACACCGGTTATGCAGCACCCAGGAGGCTGAGGCAGGAGCGCTGCCTCAAGTTTGAGGCCAGCCTGGGCTACATAGTGAGTTCAAGGCCAGTCTGAACTGCGTAGCGAGACCCCATCTAAAACAACAGCAACGAAAACAAAAAAACCCAAAGCAATACATAAATACATAATAAACAATGAAATCTAACATAAAAATATTTGCCATACTGGTCTTCTGTTGGTGCTGTTGCCAGAGGATTACGGGTTGCTGGGCACAGAGATGGCGCCTGAAAATCTCTAGGATCTTCAGTCTGTCCCTGCCTACCATCTGCTGTGCTGGGATCAAACCCAGGCCCTGTGCAGGTGGGCTCTGCCCCTGGGGGATCGAGGTGCCGGCCCCTCAGTATGGACACAGTGCTGCCTTGCTCGGAGACATTGGCCAGGCGCCTGGGACGCAACAACCAACAGGGAGTAACAAGGCTGGCAGAGACACAGACGGTGGGGCCCCTGTTCCTGGAAGTGTGAAGGGGCAAAAATGCTTCAGAAAATACTGCGGATGTCGCTCAAAGGTTACAGACACATTTCCAGAGGACATGCTGTGTACCCAAGAGAAACAAACACACGCCCGTGTGTATAGGGGCCAAGAGAAGCACTGTTCACGGTAGCTGAAGGCAGAAATAACTCAGTGCCTGTCAACTAGCAAAAGCATAAACACAGTGTGATGCAGCCACAGAATGGAATACTATTCAGTCGTCAAAAGGGACAAAACGCAATACCTGCTACCGTGGGGGAACCCTGGAAACATCCTAAGTGAACAAGGCCATCATAAATGTCCACTTATTGTATGGTTCCCTCTCTACGGAGGGGCATGGCAGGCAAATCCTCAGAAACAGAAAGTAGGGAGTGGTCACCAAGGACACAGATTGTGGAGAAATAGGAAGTGCTGCTATGGACACGGAGTGCCTTTTTGAACTGCTGAAAATAATCTAAAATTGGCTGTGATGACAGTTGTGCAAATCTGTGAAATGCACTAGAATTGCTGAATGGTGTACTTTCAGTAAGGCCAGCTGCACGGCGGGTGAATTATACCTGTTATAAACAGTGCTACAGCAGAGAGGGAGGGAAGGAAGGCTGGGGGTGGGTAAGTGGACTGCCAGCACGGCGACACATACTTTACAAATCAAACAAAACTGTGCATCAGCTCCTACCCTGCAGCCCATTTTAAGAGATAAGGAGTCGGCAACTTTGAGGGACTCAGTGAATCACCTGAGCCTGGAAGGAGAACTGGGCTTGGGTTTGGTCCCTGTTTAAAGTGGGCCGAGCTCCCAGTTCCCTAGAAGGACAAGTTGGTTGGCTCGTGGGTCAGCGGCAGGACAGGACACGGCTGGACGCTGTTGTCTGGGACCCCCGCAGGAGGAGACGGCTGCACCCACCTCTGCACGCGCACCTGGAACTCTGTGTCCAGATGGGTGGGCCTGCCCGGGGCCCAGCTGCACATCAGGTGGGCCGAGGACTCGCGGAAAACACAGGTCACCTCCTCGGGGGCGTCCGGAGGATCTGCAACAGAGGGTCACTTAGGAGGCCACCAGGGAGCCGGAGCTGCTCCACGTTCTCTGGGACCAAGCAGCTGCCCGCCGCCGCCTGTGTCCCGGCCCCTCGCCTGCAATCCATGGTCACCTGCGTGGCTCTTGTGTCCCACAGTAGCCCTGCACCACCGTGGGGACCAGACGAGGTCAAGTTCTACCCCTGGTGGGTCCTCTCTGCTCTGCCTTTCTCCTTCGGGTCCACTGTCCCCAAACCACCCACTCCTGTCCCCTGCTAAGGCCCGTGTCCCGTGTCCACAAGCCCCAGGGTGTCCTCTCAGCCTACGGACCGTGACCTCTGCCTTGACCTAGACTTTGTCCCCTCCCTCTGCGAGTCCGCATCCAGTCGGGCCCCAGAGCCTCTCTCTCCCCTTCATTCCCAATTCTTTTCTGTCCCTGTCATTTTCCTGGTGTCTTAGTCTACGCCCTCACCCTTGCTCACTGGGACTCGAACTTCTAAATAATAAGAAACCTCCCGGCCTCCATCCTTAACTATCCCCGGCCCTCAACCACAGCCCAGCTAGGGTGACCCATCCTAAATCAAGTATGTCAGACTTAAATTTTAAGTGATTTCCGGTGCCCCACGAGATGTGCCCAACCTCTCGACGCCAGCCACAAAACCCTTGACAATCTCGGCAACCCCTGCCTCAGTGCCACTTTCCACAGCCCCGTATCTGCCCCAATCGGACCCCTGTGTGCCTGCTGTGCCACTCTTTCTTGCCCTGCGTAGGACGTGACTGAAATGCGCAGGGAGGAGGCGGGAGGTGGGGTCAGCAGCGGTGCACAGGGCTGGTTTGCAAGGCGAGAGGCGCTGGAGAGCAGCCCCGAAAAGTGCTGCAAACGCGTTTTACCACCAGCGCCACATCAAAAAGGACTTTTTCGAAACTTTGGCCCTCACAGAACTGGATTTCAAGGCTCCTGTCTTTCTCTCCCACACCTGCCACCCACGCGCAGCCCTCCTCCCGGGGCCTTGCTGTAGGCACACGCTGAGCCCACACCCACTTCACCCCAGCCCGGCCCCTTCACCCCAGGCTTTGGGCAGCAAGCAGGCCCCACAGAAGCGCACCCTCGGCTCAGGACAGCTGCTCAGGGGATTGCCCTTGGGCATGGCCCAAGTTGAGGTCACCTGAATTCTTCGATGGTAGGGACACATTTCTGCCCCTAAAGTTGCTGTCCCCCGAGTAGAAGGCATGCTTGAGAAGTGAATGGAAGTGTTAGCACTCAGCATGGTGGTGCACACCAGCCATCCCAGTACTTGGGAGGCTGAAACAGGAGGATCACTACAAGTTGGAGGCCAGCCTGGGCTGTGCAGTAAGTTCGAGACCAGCCTGGACTACCTAGCAAGACCCTGTGCCAAAATAAAAAGAGAGAGAGAGAGAGAGAGAGAGAGAGAGAGAGAGAGAGAGAGAAGAATGAAGCCAACATAGGTAGGGGGAAAACCAAGAAGTGGGAAGAGGAGAGAGCTCTGAGGACACTGTTTACACCTTTGGGCCCTTGGAAGCTGTGAGCAGGAACTCCTGGAGCGCAGCATCTGGGATCCTCACCGTCTGAGGGTGAGCAATCAGCACCGGTGCTCAAGACGGAAGTGTGGGACAAGAGCGCCTGACCCTACACCCACTCTCAGGTGCAGCTCCTCCTGTTTTCCCCACGTGTGACACAGAGCTGGGGTGTGCGCCTTCTCAGAGTCACAAGACAAATGGGAAGCTGGGAAGGGTAAGGAATAGAGATGCAGACATGTGTGCTCCCCAACTTGCACCCAAAGATTGGTCTTAAGTACAAATTCACCTGCAAATCGCCTACCCAAACTATTACTTGTAAAATAACACAAACATCAAAAATGTGTCCTCACTGTGAATCAAAACAATAACATGCCATTTAGGTCTACCACACTGGCAAGGATTTTGAGATAATGGTGCACACAGTCCTGGGAAGGGCTCTGCAAAATCCTCTCCTGGCTCAGGTGGGGCAGGTTGGGGAGCACCTTTACCCAGGGTACTTTGCACATGGCAGTCATCCAAAGTGAGGTGATACTTTGTATCCCAACATCCGGGAACTATCCTGAGTGAAATGTTCTTTGATAGTCAGCTAAAACAGGGTGCCTAAAGTATTGTTCATAACAATGAAAACACACACTGGAAAACCACCTTAATACCCAAGATAAAGTTAAATTATACTGGGTATAATATATGCTTAAAATATATCAAAATAACATTATAGAAGAAATATAATATAATGTTATCAAATATAATGTTATAAAATATAATGTTATCAAAAATAACATTATAGAAGAAAGTTTAAGGGCCTGGCCTTTTGAAGGCATTAGAAATGTAATTACTAAGTAAAAAGATGCTGGAGAGAGAGAGAGATTTGAAAGACATAGTCCAATTACTAAGGAGAGACTATGTTATTGGTGAAATTATGGGATTATGGAGATGATAGATATTTCTTTTTTGCTGGTTAATGTTTTTAAACTTTCTGCATTGAATGCATTTGATTTTACAATTTAAAAACTATATTCAACTGTAGGAGTGCATGAGAGTGATTTAAGACATTTTGGTGAGTGGCAGCAATGAGTTAGATTTAGAAGAAATTGCCTTATAAGCAGGGTAAAAGAAATCTTCAAGTTCTGAGTCCTGCCAGGGCCAAGTGTGAAAACATAATCTTGAAAAATAGCTGTTTATTTTTGTACTACTGAGGATTGACCCTAAGCGTCTTTACGCTGAGCTATATCACCAGTCCTTTTTAATTTTTATTTTGAGACAAGGTCTCATTCAGTCACTGCATTGCCCAGGCTGGGCTCAAAGTTGCAATTCTCCTACTTCAGCCTCCTACAAGCTGGGATTCTGTAATCACAGGACATTACACCCAGACAGAAACACACATTTAGATAATTTTAGACATTGATTGCAATGTCATCTCCTACTTTTCACAAGAATTTGTGCTGAGGTTACTTTTTCCTGTGGCTTCATATAGAGAATGTTGCTGACTTTGTAATCATGTAAGACACATGCCTACCTTTCAGCCTGCACCACTCTGCAGCATTCTATATTCAGTGAATGCAAGGGATTATAGATGCCAAGAAGTTAATTAACTTTGCAGACAATGAAAAGAACTCCACACCTCTGCCAAGAAGCACAGTATTTTTTGTTAGTGTGAAGCAACATAAAGGCAGTCTGAGTGTGGCTCTGAGGAGAGCATCTGCTTATTAGATATGGTTGCCAAGTTATTCAATAGTCAAGAGTTAAAACCTTCTGTACAACCAGATCCTACAGACACCCTGAAACCTACAGAAAGAGGCTTAAATCTGTGCTTTTTCCTCTAATCCATCCTTCTTTTATCACTGAGATCCTCATTGACCACAGAACTCTTGTTAATTCAGCATAGTCAAGGATCAATTTCTACTAGAAGCTTATTGAAAGCAAGGTCTGTGGTTCTTCCTTCTTTGCCTTCCTAGCCCCGAGTGCATTTTAGATGCACAGTATCCAGCCACTCGGTGGAGATTATTTCATGAATTGTGTGGCTCGATTAATGAGATGATGAGAAGCATTGAGACAGGCACATTGAAAAGTGTGGTGATGCACACATATTATCCCAGCACTTGGGAGACTGAGGCAGGAGGATCTCCACAAGTTTGAGGCCAGCCAGGGCTACTGCAGAGTGAGACTTTGTCTCAAAAAATAAAAACCAAAAACCAAAATAACAATAACCAGAAAAAAATTACAAAAACTAAGATAGGCACAATGCTTTGGGCAGAGACCACACTAAAATTCCTTTCACAGAGAGGATTCAGGCAGTCTAATTACATGGTAAAGATACATACTTTATAGTGATGTTAAAGATAAGTATTCTGGGCTTTTATTGGATGAAATCCTTTCTTTAATCACTATCAGTAGAAGTGCAACATGATTAAAATTTAAGTCAGTGTTGCTTAAAATTTTATTTTATTTTATATTATTTTCATTTTTTTGAGGCAGGGTCTCACTATGTAGTTGAGACTGACCTGGAACTCACTATGTAGCCCAGGCTGGTCTCTAACTCACAGCGATCCTCCTACCTCAGCCTCCCAAGTGCTGGGATTATAGGAGTGCACCACCACATCCGGCTTGTTTAAAATTTTAAATAAATGATTAAGTAAAAACATGACTGCTCATAGTTTATTTTAATTGGAATTTTTAAATGAATGAAGGTATTTTGAAGTGTTTTGATCCTGTGAATAGTATGACCCCTGTTAACCAGACTTCCTATAATATGAGTATATTTTGTCACAGATAAGAATCTAAGAATTGTTTAAGATTATGGCCTAAGATGGAAATTATGATAGTTTGTATTTCACAAATTATGCATCAGAGAAACTTAAATATACTTGGACATCTCGGGGAAAGCAATGACTCACTTATTTTCTATCTCTCAAGATTTCCCTCCAATCTACGAAAGTGCCTAGAATCATTTTGTTCAAAACAGTGATGATAAATCAACACCGCGAAACACAGGGCAGATATCCTGTCATCAAAGTGGCTCAGTGAAAGCAGTGTGATTTCTAGAATGCCACAGAAACCCTTCAAAACCTCTTTTTGACCCACTTTAATGGGAGGTTTTGTTTGCTAAGCATGGAGACCTCGAGAGCACAGTCAGCTTGAATCCAGAGGTCTGAGGAAAGGCTCATCGCGGTTGGATTCCTGTACTCGGAACAGAGCTGTGCAGAAGGAGCTGTGCCCCAGGTGTATGATGGAAAGTGGGGGGCTGGGGATGGAGCTCAGTGGTTCAGCCGCCTGCCTCGCAAGTGCAAGGTCCCGAGTTGGATCCCCGGTACCAAAGAAAAAAGAAAAGAAAGAGACGGGCTGAGCAAACATCGGAAGCAGGGCCAGGGTTCTGGGAGGGGCGTCCTGTGGCCTGGAATGTGGCCTGCTCTCTTGTGTGAGGGGCAGCAGCAGCTCAGCCCACCCCAGGAGGACTGCTGGGAATAACCCGGCCACCCAGACACAAGCCAAGGAAGGAGGTCTTCTGCAGAGGGTTTCTAGGAGGCCGTTGTTTAGGAATACGCTGCTGCCCTCAGCCTCAGAAGACCAAACCCAAATGGAATGGCTTTTGCCAGTGCCACACAGGCCAGCCGAAGCTTCAAGGAAGCAGATCGAACCCCCAAAAGCCTAGTTCTTCCGGAAAATAGGAGGAGCCAACGCCCAGCGTGAGAGGCCCAGTCACCCCGACCCGGCGTGAGAAAAAGCCCCCCTTGGCTTTACCTTCACAGGGAAAGTAGCCAGAAGTACCCTGATGGCAACACCCCCACACCCTTCCCCCAGTTTTCAATTTTTCTGTTCCTTGTTCCCACTTTACCAAGACAAACTGTACTGTGAAGCCCAAAGAGCACTTGTGTATTTTACAAAATGGGGTATGGCTCAATTTCATAAATCAAATATCTTTACAATGAGAGGCCGTCCCACTTTGACAAAAGCCAATTTGACCTAAAAGCTAAAGCTGTTGTTGAAATGTGGTCTTTTGAAGGAGGGAATGACTTGTTTCATATCCCCCCCTCCAGCTAAATTAATAACTAATCTTTGCCCATAATCCTGGAAGTTGCTTATTTATCCTCCAAGGAAGTAGCACACCACCCGCTCCTCTCCTCCCCACACCCGCTGAGGACAGATGTGCAGTAACATTCGCTAGCACTGAGAGTGGGTTTTGCTTCCTGAGGATGTGGACAAGCTGGGGAGAACCTGCACATCAGATAAGAACTCAGCCTGCAGTTGAATTTCCACAATTTAGGGCAAGTTGAAGGCACTGGAGTATAGGTCTAGCAGGGCGATTCTTTGATGGCCCAACCCATCCTTTAGTTCCTAACTCGCCTTTTGCCTATGTTCTCTCTTTGACAGACACGCACGACAGCTGCCCGGAGCAGGAGGGGACAATGGCCTCCCTGGGCAGCAGCATAGCCCACACAGTGGGGACTCTGTTCAGCTGTTCTTGTAGCTAAGCTGAAGGTGAGAAAGCAGCAAGAACTCTGACTTGATTCCCAGAGCACGGAGGAAGAGAGCTGGCTATGGACGCAAGCCTTTAGGTGAGGTTGAAAATGGGCCTAGATGAAAACAGGACCCAGAGAATGGATCCTTAGATTAAAACAGTGCTCGATTAATGGATCTGTCCTTTGTAGTAGGGCCGAGACCTAACTGTGAATGTCATTACCTAAGTCAGCTCACGGTCCTACAGGAACTTCAGTTTTCAGAACACCACAAACACAAAATAACTTATCACATGGATCAACTGAACTAATGTTTCTCCGTAATTGCAGCAACAAACAGAGGAGTTGCAGTGAGACAATGGAATTCTTAGTAAAGGGATGTTTGAGAATCTCCCTATTTTATCCAAAGTACACATTTTTAGGGATTCAGGCATTGAGGGTGTACTTACAGTCTGTGACATGTATTTAAATGAATTATTGAGAGTCAGTGCCTCACACAGCCATGTAATTGTCTGTATTTGACAGATGAGCAATTGAGGCTCCAATGGGTTGAATAAGTTGCCCAAAGTTACTCAGCTGGTAAGGAGCACAGGAGAACACAAAGCTGGTTTTGCAACTTTCCCTCAGTCTCAGTCTCAAAGTCTGTCAGTGGACTCTGCTTACAGGTGGATGACACTAGTTTGGAAAATAAACAAACAAAAAAGCATGCATGGAAAATAAAAAGATGAAAAGAGGGACATTTAAAATCTGAGTGTGGTAGCTTCCTATGCCTTATTTGGCCAGGCTGGTGGTAAAAAATTTGTTTTTAAAAATGCATTCACAGTATTTTAAAATTTGGTATTTGCATTAAACACTTGCTGTTCTGGCTGCCTTTGGAGGACACCCCGGGCCCCGTGCATGCTGGGTGTGGGCCGTGGCTGTCCCAGGAGAGCTTTCTTCTCCCACTGGGTCTCCCCAGCCCCTGACTCAGAGGTCCTGGCCTGAGCCTCCCATGGGAAACCGATCCTCGCCACGAGTGGCATCCATCCCTCTGACTCCATGCTGGATGAGATGAGGCAGGGGCAGAGCACCGCAGGCCTGGCTTGGCTTTTTCGCTTTGGGGATGTGCCCTGACACTTACATCCAGAAGAAATGTTCTCTCCACACACCAGCGTCTCCTTCGCACGTCCGGGACACTCTGCAGTGCAGTACACGAGGGCGCGGGGTTCCAGAAAGTTCTTGTACCACTGATGAGCTGTTGTTTTGTTGAGCCTCGAGGTGTGAGATATTTCTCTGATGCCATTTTTATAAAAATGAAGTTTCCTCGGTTGGCAGTTCTTAATGGCTGCTTGGCAATATATAGAGATATTCATACCCATTTTAAAAACTGTGGCTGGTTCTACCCACACGTTGCCAGCGCAGTTTATATTTGTAATTCCTGAAAACAAACAAATAATGAAGTCTGTGGGACATATTACAACAGATGCAGAAGAATATGCCACTGCATTTTTATTCTTTTAGATTAGAAGATTTCTGCTAAAAAAAATAAAACTAAACCTTTTTAGTGTGCTTTTGCCATGTTTCTATTCGGGTTCAGCCACGTGGTCAGTGAGAAGCCAGTTTTCTACTTCCCTGCTTATCTAAAGAGCAAACCTTAGCTCTCCCACGCTCATGTGGAGAACCCAGGTGTCAGAAGCCTGAGCCACATTTCACAGATAAGATCAGAAATGACACTGAGAACCGCAGAGTCCAAACTCCAGTCATTAGAAACAACCAATCCCTGGTTCTTCCTTTGTGTTTAAAGATAAAATCTACTTTTCTCACACAGTTATGAATATAATGAATAAAACAATACTCATGCAAATGACAACAATCTAGTGCTTAATAACCACATAAACTTCATCACTGATTTGACAGTACAGAAAATGTACACAATATACAATGTGAAATTAAAAAGCAAACTGCAAAACATATTTAATACAGGTTTGGTGCTGGAAAAAAGTAAATAAGTGGGCAAACTGAAAAGAAAAACATTAAGATATTAAAGACCATCTGTTAATCTTTCATTTTTCAATTATATATGCCTATGTTTTTAAATGGATGTATGACTTTATAAATAAAAACAAGTAATATAAAGTCACTGGGCTGGGAGTATAGCTCAGGGGAAGACCATCTGTCCAGAATGAATAAAGTCCTGGCTTCAATCTCTAGAAAAAAAAAAAAAAAAGAAAGAAAAGAAAAGTCATATTTATAAAGTCAAATAACAATACGATTCAGTAATAATGAAATGAAATTCATACTAGAAATTCTGTGGAATTTATTATGGGTATTTTCTGGAAATACTTGTGCTAAAATAACTTTATAAAAGTAGTCATATTTAAGGTCAGCATTTGGCTTTAAAAGGCTCTTGTACTAGGAACTCAAAGCTTAAAGAACCAACTCATTACATAATATAAATATAATTAACTATTTCCATTTGTGTAACGAACGTGTCTACATATATTATAAATATTTAATTGTTGAATTATAAAATAATCCTATCACCATCAACAGGGAATTGAAATCAAAGACATTAAAAGGAAGATTTAAGAGAATATTTAGATACTTGACATGAATTGGATAATTTAAGTTTAGACAAAGCACATCTCCAGCACTTTTTGAGATCTATGTGAGCCGGGCATAATGGTGCACGCCTGTGATCCCAGCATGTGGGAGGCTGAGGCAGGAGGGCTTCTGTGAGTTGGAGGCCTGCCTGGGCTACACAGTGAGTTCAGGGCCGGCATGAGCTATAAAGGGAGACCCTGTGTCAAAAAAACAAAAAATAAAATAAAGAATTTAAAAATATATGTGAATGCTATCATGGAAGTCTTTTGAGGATATCTAGAAAAATCAAAAGTGGAAGACTAGGTTTGGTCAAATGTCCTGGTTTTCAAATACGGAAGAAAGAAGAGCCCCAGGAACACGTGGACCATTGAGCTTCACAACACTGAGGAGTGAATTCAATCTATATCTGTTCAGAAAATGGTAATAAAAACAGGGATCAATAGAAGTCACCAGGTTATAAGAGAAAAAGTCATTCAAATGTTAATTTCCCTCTTAAATGGGATTATTAGATGGCTTAGAGAAATGCTCAACACAGTGTAATTTTATTTCTGAAAAGCTGCTAAAAAGAGTAACAAAATCATAGTGGGAAACTTGGAAGAATATAGCCTGGAAGATAAGGAGATTAGGCTGCACTACGTACAACATAACTTACGGGGGAGCCTGGGCCCCACACCGCGTCCTGGGCTGCTCAATTCTCTGGGCGCCGAGCCTGTCACCTGAGCATGTGCACAGAGTCCCACTTGCTCCTTGCTATTCTAGGAAGTGGGAAGAGCAGGTGTTCCTTCCTCCTGCAGCCTCCTGCATTGCTGTCCCTGCCTCTGGAAGACCCCAAGTCCCCCCTGGAGATGCCAGGCCCCCACTCTGACACCCTCATCCCCAGCCTCAGACAAGGCCCCGCCTGCCCTGCACCTGAGAGTGAGGTCTGCAGATGCTCTGCCCGGAGCTGCTCATGTTCTCCCTCTGGCCCAGACAGGACCTGGGAACCCTGCCGGAGGTATCAGGCCCCAGGCAGGCTGCACAGCCAGCACAGTCACTCTCAGTACCTGCGTCGTGGGTCGAGCTAAACAGGCACTGATGGGCCCTGGGGCAGCTGGAAACGTCTATGTCTATATACACATATTTCCCCAAGTAAAATTTTTTATTCTCTTCAGCATAATGCCTTGAAAATCACAACCACTCAGTGTCTCATCTGCTGAGTAAAGGGTAGATCTGGGCATGCAAAACTCTGTACCTCCATGGCACCAGCTGAAGAGCACGTAAAGGGCTATGAACACGTCCAGTCGAGTCGCCACCTGATTCATTCCCGGAAACGGGAAAGAGCCCTTGGTTTCTTTCTGCAAGAGATCATGAAAATGTCTCAGTTGTGATACTTCCATGAAGTAATAAAAGGCATTACGTCTTTCCTAGCAATTCTTGCCTTTGGTTAGGAAGAAAAGAGAGAGAAAGAAGGGACTAAGGGAAAGAGGGAGAGAAAAGGAGAGCAGGGAGAGGTCGCTGGTTCGCAAGGAGATGAAACCCGAAGTGACGCCGGGCATCAAAAGAATGGAATTTTAGGGCCAGGGATTTAGCTCAGTGGTTCTGCCCCCTGCCTTGAAAGGGCAAGGACCAGAGTTTGATCCCTGGTACAAAAAAAAAAGGGGGATTTTAGACCTTCAAGAATGACTGTGAATTCTCTTAGAAGGACATTTGACCCGTGTTAAAATACAGTTCCTCCTCATTTGGACTCTCTTCTCGGCCCTCTTTCTGCCGTGACTCTGATGATGAATTCTTTTCCTGACCAGAATTACGCATCAGTCACACTCTGAGAATATTTACCCTTTGGTGAGCAACACTTGGAAAAGCCAAACTTTTCAGATGTCCCGGAGAAAAAGGATACACAATGAAGATAAACAAAAGAAGACAAAGACAGGTGTACTTGGATCAGTGAAATTCACAGAGCCCGTTCTTCTGAGGTGCCGAAGAAATGCCGTGCAGAAATCCCAGCGATGCTGGTTTCTGTTTAGGACTGGAATTATGTTATCCGGTGAACCGGGCACTTACGTTATTGAGTAGTTCAGCTCCTCAGTCGTGACCATTTTTCACCTACTCTTCTGTTTAGTAAAGCCTGAATTAAAACAACCTCAGCATGCAACCCATAGCTCATCAAAGAACCTAAAGCCTCTGGTGACATTTTTAAAACACACATCTGCATTGGTAGCTGTAAGAACATCTCTTTGTAAATCAGAGGTCGCTCAAGCCAGAGTGTTCCTAGTTAGAAGTTAGCTACTCACCGGACCCAGTGTGTGCAGAAATTACGGTTAAAAGGGAGTGGACACCAAATGGCACTGCAGGTCCAGCTGCCATCTGATGTCACCGTCTGGAGCAGTCATGACGACGTAGACAAGGAAGCCGCCGGCATCACGGTTCCCACCAGGAATGATCCTGGTCTCCACCTCCCAGGCCAGGCTCCGTCCTTGGTGTCTGGACGTTTTCTGCTCTCCAACTCCCTGGTGATGAGCACTTCAGGTCTGTGGCTCTGAGGCTTCTGAACTACCTGTCAGCAGAGCCCTGACCTACATTTCTGAGCCTCGAGAGGAACTTACAGAGCCCATTTCAAAATGACTGGTTGGGTTGTCACTGTTTGGGAAAACCCAGATTGCTGAAAGTGAACTGCTTTGTCAGTACTTCTCTCTCTCACTCTCTCCCCCACCTCCCTCGCTCTCAAATCACTTTAAAATTGTCTCAGCCACATGTGGTGGTACCTGCCTGAAATCCCAGCACTCTGGGGAGGCTGAAGCAGGAGGATCATAAATTCGAGCTTAACCCGGGGAACTTAGTGACTTTGTGAGACCCTCTTTCAAAATAAAAATTTAAAAAGGGCTACGGATGTAGCTCAGTGAAATCTGGGCTCAATCTTTGAGTCTATAGAAATAGATACAGTAAGTGAATAAATCAGTAGCTGGGTGTAGTGGCACATGCCTGTTATTTCAGCACTCGGGAGGCTGAGGCAGGAGGATCACCCCAAGTTCAAGGCTATTCATTCATTCATCAAGGGGCCACATCTTGGCAATTGTGAAGAATGCTGCAGTGAACACAGGAGTACAGATCGGACTCAGAACCTTGCACTTTCCAGGCAGGCATGATGCCTCTGGACTACATCCCCAGTCCCCTGACTGTTTGTAATTTTTAAAGGAACTTCCATGCCACTTTGTATTATGACTACGGCACTATCAGTTTACATTGCCACCAACCTTGTACGAGGATTCTCTTTACTCTGCACTTTTACCAACAATTGTCCATAGCATTTGTTACCCTTCGTCCTTCTGATACCTGAAGAGATGTGAGAGGATAACTCACGGTGATTTTGAGTTGTATTCTCTATGATTTCTGATACAAGTCCCCTTTCATATTCCTGTTGGCCAGATGTCCCTGCCTTCCTTTAGCCCTTTAATTAAACAAGGTTTCCTAGGAAAAAGAAATATTTATTAAGTACTTGGTTGATTCATAAGTACGAATGATGGACAATCTTCACCGTTAACTGGACTGACCTGAGCAACCCCTACAACAAAGCACATTTCCAGTTTGTCTGGGTGCGTCACAGAGGTATGACCTTGGTTGTGACTTTACAAGTTCCATGACCCTTCCTTGCAGTCTCTTCCCCTGGCCTTTCCACCACCCTCTTCTGCCACGATGTTCCTACCTTGGAGCCAGCTGACCGTGGATGGAACCATCTGAAACCATAAGCCAAAATCAACCTTCTCTTCCTTTAGGTGGTGGGTGGCAGGTGTTTTGTGAGAGCAGTGAAAAGTAGTATCGAGAGTAGAGTACAGTACACATGGGTGGAATCCTTTCTGCTGCAAGTTGCCTTCCCACTTCCAAGATTTCACACGCATCTCTGTTCACACACTCCAGGGAGCATTTAAAACATTTCCATACCCAGACTCTAGACAATTAAATCAGAATGTATGTGGGCAGAGATTGGGTGTTGATGCCTCTAAAGCCTGTGGGTGATTAGGCTGAGGGTCACAGAAACAGATGTATGATTAAGGGTGACCCTGCAGACCACACATAGACTGGTCTCCAGGGAGGATTTCATGCTCAGGAATAATTTTCCAAGCTGTTAAGGAGAAGGGATGGGAAACATTTCACCTACAGACCGCAGAAAGTTCAAGAGATGCAGATGTTTGCAGATGGGCAAGCTGTCTTTCCAAGTATAAAAGAACAAGGTTTCAACTGGAAAATTGTGTCAGTATTTCTATAAGATGAGATTGGCTATGTATTTCTCCAAAATAATCCAACCTTCATCTTGAAAGCAAAAAGAAATAGCAAAGATTGCCCAGCAGAGAGATGGCATGAGCAGGTGGGGATTTAGAAAAGCAATTCTAGCTCATGTTCAGAGAATCGGGTAAGGATGAAGAACCCCACCAGGGAGCCACTGAAGATCGAGAGCTGATGGGGCTTAGCTTGAAGCAAAGCAAAGGCAGTGAGGACCAAAGTAGGAGACAAGACAGAGAGCCACGTGGGCAGCAAATGGACAGGCGGTGGTGGTCAGTGAGGGAGTGGGGGTGGGATCCATCAGTGAACCACCCATGTGGGAGGTGCAGGATCTGGGCCCCCAAAGAATGGCTCTGGTGGCTATTTGTGCAGCAGGTGAGGATGCTACCTGGGCACCCAGAAGGAGGAGGATGAGATTGACTTTCCGTGTGGTTTGCAGCCTTTCCAGATAAAACTGTCCTATAGGTCCCTTAGGTACTGGTAAACTTGGAGAGAAGTTTCAGACAAAGATCTAAATTGGGAGGATTTAAGCATCAGTAGTATTAAAGCTGAGGTTAGAAGAAGAAAAGTTAGACTATGCAGCGAGACAGAGTGACGCCGGTTATGGGAACCAGCAGGGTTGACCTGAGGAATATGTGGAAAGGGTCCATGATGGTGCGGGCAGCGTCCAATGGTCAGAGACGAAACGTGGTGCCACTGCCCATGAGCTCAGGGCCTTTTGCTCAATTCGAGATAGAAATCACAACGAGGCGGTAGCAATAAAAAACTCTTGTTTTAGGGCTTATGCTTGAGCACAGGGGAGATAGCACTGGGCAGGTAAGGGTTCCCACAAGGGCTCTCTGAAAGAGCCACACACTGTGTTTTATAAGTCATACACTGTGTGTATAAGCAGGTACACAGTTTCCTCCTACACACGACCCCAGGGTTTCTGCTTACCTCTTGTCTGTTTCCTGCTCCTGGTATGGTTTGCACCTGGCATGGTGACCTGCACCTGCCTTGAGTTCAGCTGCATTAAACTCTCAAGGGGTGGTGCTCACTACTGCTTCCCCGGGAAGGCTACAGCCTGCTCAAGCTGGGCCTCTGGGCACTCATGGTTCTGGGGCTGGGAAGGTGGGTGGGCGGTTGCAACGTAGTTATCTGAAAGCAGCAATTCCAGCCTTTTTGGCTCTGGGAACCCCTTTCACGGAAGTCAGTTTCCCCACGGAGGGGATAGTGGGCAAATCACAACTTCACAGTAGGGTTCCTACTTCTGTGAGAATCTAGGGCTGACCCTGATCTGACAGGAGGCAGCACGCAGGCAGAGGTGGAGCGGTGGGGAGCAGCTGTAAACAGGGATGAAGCTTTACCTGCCACGCACCCCTGGCCTGGAGAATAGAAAACTTTTGTGGGGGAATCACAGCCTCCCTATTCTGTCTCAATGAGAAATAAAAAGAAGCACTGGCTTTTAAAAAACAGAGCGAAGGAAACAAATCATGCATATTCTCTCAACCCCTCTTTCCTTCCTTATTTACAGAAGTTTTGTTTCCACTTTTTCCTTCTTTTCTCATTTTTCCTTTCCCTTCCGGCCTTTCACCCACCCCTCCTCCATGGTTCCCCAATCCATTTCAACATTTTCTTTCCATTTTGCAATCTCTATTGTTTCTCTGGTGTGAGAAACTGAAAGTGTAAAAAAGGGGTCCAAAATGTGTAATAGATGTTGGAGACGCCTGCAGTCAGGTTCCAGTCCCTACCTGCCTAGTGTGTGATGCAGGCCCGAAAAATAAACAACACTGAGAGACAGGACGAGGAGAGAAAGCGGGGGCCCCAACGACCAATGCCAGTTCGACCGACAGAGGCGCTGGCCAGTCCCAGGCACTGACTTTTATTGGCAGTCAGTTAGGGTGAAGGTGATGTGTGTTTTCCACGGAAGTTAATAAAAACAGGGTTTATAAAGGACAAGACAAAGCATTCTCAAATTAGGGACAAATAGACAAAATATATGGTCGTAATTAGAACGTTGTCCTTCTGGTCTGAAGGTTTTAGTTGAGGGAATGAATTTGGGTGTGAGTTGCTCTGACCTCAGGAGCACAC